TGACTCTCCTGATAAAGTGAGGACTGCGATAGGCAGACGTTCAGCTCTCGCTCCTTCACCCCTCCATCTGCTGCGATGTAAGCTTAGAGAAACCGGATCCTTCTATTCCCCCTCACACCTCAGTTAAAAGAGGACCTCTTTAATTACCTTCCTTTGCTATTCTGGAAGATGATGATTAACCACTTCAAGTAGATGACAGGAAGATTGATTTTCCTCTGAGATGATAACATGACTAAGCATCTGTTATGATATTAGAGCAGCTTCTAATTTCAGTCCATTATAAATTATTTACCATCACATGTAACATTCAAATCTTTAAATACATTCATTTTATAATGCCTCTGCCCTGAACAAACTGCAGTCCTCTAATATTATTGTCCTCCTGTAACAATCCACCAAAGTGTGATACAATTACCCTTATCCATGAAATCCATAGTAACCTGATCTAATCCATTTAAATAAACCTGAATATATGCCACGTATATTTTATCATCTATAGATACAAACTGTCAATATTTCAAGGAATACACATTATACACTTACATTTGAATGATACAGTTTTATGACCATATAACCTGCTTACAACAAGAATAAGAGTCTGTAGTGCTGGCAGTAACACCATCAACTGCAAGCTGATTGTATTGTTGTCATTATGGTGATAACAGTTGTTAAGTGATAACTTGTCTCCTGCATGTTGTTTTTTCATCCGTTGGGTTTACTAAAGATATGTGTAAATGGTAATGGACTTGAGCTTATATCGTGCTTTTCTAGTCTTCCAACTACTCAAGGCGCTTTTACACCACATGTCACACCCACCCCAGAGACAATATGGCTTACTAAGGGCTATTAGGGTCAACAGATTTCTAAACTTCACTGATCATCAGTTAGTTCTCTTCTCTTAAAACCACTCCTGGTTTAGTACATCATTTAAATATTCTTTAAACACAAAAGTAATGCACCAGTGAAAGGCTACAGCTATGCTAGCCCCTCTGGAGGACAGTGCTAAATGCTAATGTTGTGAAGATGCTGCTGTTTATAGTGCTCATGTTTACTTTGTTCATCATCTTAGTTAAGCATGTTAGCATGCTAAACACATGAACCTGAGGCTAATGGTAATGTTGATGTATTTGCAGGTGTTTGAACTCCAAAGGGTAACCAAAGTATATGCTAAGTTGAAAATGAAACTTGATTACCTGTAAGTCCAGCCATCCACTACGTATTCCTCATTTTCTTGTTTGGGGTCGCAGGGTCTCCCCTGGATTGATACCCAAGTCAATAACAGGGCTGACATATAGAGACACACAACCCGCCACACTCACATACACACCTGCAGACAATCTAGAGTCACCAGTTAACCTGACGAGCATGTCTTTGGACTGTGGGAGGAAGCCAGAGAGAACCCACGCATGCACTTTTAAAAACATGCAAACTCCTCACAGAGAGGCTCTATTTTACAAGGATTCAAACCAGGATGGTTCTTACTGTGAGGCACTGACACAAACCACTGCACCACCGTGCAGCCATGACCTGTCAGTGATTCATTATTATTAATAATGAATTAATGACTCATGAGCGTCTTTACCAATTTTCATAGCAATGGTAAATGGACTTGAACATGTGTGTTTCTGTTCTAGTCTTTTGACTACTCAAAGTGCTTTTACACCACAGGTCACACCTACACATTCACACACTGATTGCAGAGGTGTCTATGCAAAGTCACAGTCAGAAGTAACTAATCCCATTCATACACATTCATACACAGCAGACAAAACAGCAGGAGTAAATTGGGGTTAAGTGTCTTTAAGACACATCTGACATATGGCTGCAGGAGCTGGGGATTGAACTCTTGGCCTTCTGGTTGAGAGACAACCAACTCTACCACTGAGCCACAGTAACAGCAATGCATCTGTCTTATTCTTGTGATATTTCAATTTAAAAATAGAAACCTCATTTAGGTGTTTTTTAAAAAATGTCAGGGGATCACCAGACAAAGTAGGATTATCCTCAGGGATAATGGATGACTGGGAAACATTTCATAGAAATCCATCTTTTATGTTACGGTAATATTAATATACATAATTAACTGGACATTTTTTACATTTCTGGGTCTTGTTTTTTTTTCTTCTGTGGTGTAAGTGTTTAAATCTAAGAGTCTGCGCGTGTGTGTATGTGTCTCAAATGTCCTCATAAAGGTCGATCGATATTCCCCTCTTTTACAAGACACTCAATCTTCAGTCAGATAAGATAAAGAATCTCTGGCAACAGTTCACAAACACATGGATTGTGTCACTCTTTGACCCATTGTGATCAATCTCATTGTTCGATCACTCTTTTTATCTCCTGGAAGAAGTTTGACTCCTGAAGTTATCTTGTGAGTTACAACATGTGGTTCATCTTCACTCTACAGGTCAAAGCTGAACTGAGGCTTTCAAAGTGACTGTGCACAGATTTGACCTCGAACAGATTCCTACTGCCATGACTACATTTACAAACAATCATTAATGAATCAGAATATCATTTGATTTTCCCCTCTATTCAGCATTATCTTTTAAACGAACCATTAATGCAGTGATTGTCTTTATTTAGCTTCTAAGTTGCAGCTGCTCACAATGCAGTAGAGTAATTTGACTGTATTATTCATTTACTTAAAAATGACAGAAACACGATGACAAAATGGGCGCGCCATCAGATATGATTTCAGACAAAAATGACAATAATGTGTTTAGTCAGGAGGGGTGGTTAGGTGTGGTGACTATTCACAGGGACAGCTGCCTGCAGAGTGTCTTACATCACAGTGACCTTTGAGCGTAAATAAAACCACCAAATTTACACATATGTTGCTGTCAAAATACCTTTGACGATAAGCTCTGTAATGATTCTGTAATTACCTCTGATGTGGTTTAAACTGGAAACAGTGCGTAGTGTGGAGTGGTAGTTGCTGACACACTGCATTATAAATATAAATCACATAAACATTTAAACTTAGGTGATTATGTGGACAATGTTGCCCCTAAGAAATGTCAGAACGAACCAAACAAAACCACTTCATTACTGGTAGAACATGAGGGATGACATGTCACTTTAATATCAACTTTGGCGTTCTTGTACATAAATCATGATGTATTTTTATGGAATAAAGTTCCCAGTAGTCTTCCCAGTATTCATATTTAAAGTGGTTAGTTCTGATATGCTTACACATCAGATTAGTAGAATATCATTTATATTATTCTGTAGTTGCCTTTTATCACTTATTAAACCTATCAACTTATATTTTGATGCTTCTACTTGTCAACTTTTACTGAAGTAAACATTTGAACACAGTTTTTAACAATGCTAATTTAACCTTAGTATGATAAACTAATTGTTCTACTTCCACTGTACTTTAAAACTTTATGTAATATGTTCTTTATATCCTTCCTTCAGCAAACAAAAGGGAAGTACATGTGATGTTATAGGTGGAACTTTCAAACATGGAATTCCCAAAAGAAAACTCCCATAAAAGTGCAATAAAAAAGTCACAGCTGATTTTATTGTGATGAATACAGGGCTGGTTTTATTTGTGTATGGCATAACACTAAGCTTAGCCTGGGGTTTTATAATTCCAGAATAGGTGAGGCCAAAAGCCAGGTTATGACTAAAATAGCGTTAACATCTTTTGTGGATTATGCAGTGTTTATTATTTGAGAATAAGTGCTTTAAGTCATGTGTTGATATTGACTAATATGGTATACCTTGTTTTTCACTTTTGCCACAGACCTCATTGGCAGCAGAGAATTGAACGTATCTCTGCTGGTCAGCTCAGGTGTTACTGAATAAATAAATGAGAGCCCGACCAATTAATCAGCCAGCCGATAACATCGACCAATATTAGCGTACCATGTAACTATCAGCTCATTTTTTCTGCACCAATATCACTTTATTTATTCACCAGTCAATTAGCATTTTATTGGAGTTTCATTGGTTTAAACTAGCACTTCTCTTTCTGGCTGTCACCAGCAGAGGGCACTATATGGCTCACAACAAGCATCATCACTGTCCAGGGGGGCATGGGGTGATGTATGAACATGTGCAGTTACATTCCAGTTAGGTGGCCATCTTGTCTTCATGATATTTCTTTTCCACAAACCTTTGATAACTGCATTTGAGGGATCAACGCAATATGAGCGTATATCTATATCTATATCTATATCTATCTATCGCTAAGAAAAATATCGGCCGATATATCAATATCAGATTTTTTTCCTCCGTAATATCGTTATCTGCCCCAAAACTCGGTCTGGCCCTAAAATGAATGAAAATGAAGTGCCCATGTAAGTTGTAACAAACAACCAATGATTTCCCTACTGTGAAATATTTTGAAAAAGAAAAATCCTTCTTCCCTTGTGTAGTGACTTACACATTGTTTTTTTTTTGTACACTTCAAATGTTTTTTGCTTTTATATGAAACTTTTTATGTTATACGACTTATCAAAAACTGTTTTAAAGGGGGCTGGCTTTTTAATTCACAAATGTGTCTTTGGATTGGCTCATTAAGTTTAGTTTAATCCTTTACAGTGTTGAGAATGTATAGTAAAGTAAACTAAATAGAAATGAGTTGTAAACTGAGCAAATTGGACCTAAGATGTCTTTATATTTAAATGTTGATATTTTTCTGATTTTTTTTTTTACTCCTGGCCTCAGTATTTCTACAGCAAATGGCATCATGAACAAATTGCTCCGAGCACAAAACAGGCCAGAAGAGTTGAGCATTTCAGCCTCAAATAGACATCCTCATCCATGACTGCAATCTGAAACACGGGAGGTCAGTTTGCCAAGTAGTCCCGTGTTCTGCAGCACTATAATCTGGTACACATCAACCCAAATTACGCATTTGTTTATTGTACCTGTTTTCACCACGAGTGTAGGCCCGCCCACTGAGATTAACCCAACCAATGAGCTCAGCCCTGCCTCAGAGGAGTGAGCTGTATATCTAAAACTCCAGTCTGCCTGTTCATTGTACTGAATCAGCGGCCATGCGCAAATGGATTCAGAGGAGGGATGTGCTGTGTAGGCTGGAGTCTACATAAGCTCTCTGTCTGTGGGACTGCACACACAACGCCGAGTGCAAATCACAGCTACAGCTGGAGCTTTACTTCTACTTGATTTTTATCCAGGCGCACTGATTTTTTTGGGGGGAAACATCAGTCAAGATTGTCTGACGGGTACCTTGGAATCCTTCCAACCCATCCTCCTTATATTATTATTACTGACGGATGCAGAGAGCAACAGCGATGCGGCGGCTCTGCTGTTAGCTCGTTGGACTTATTTTTTTCTCTCTTTTTTTGCCGGTTTTATCTCCAGGAGCAGGACAATTTAATAATGAAGCTCAAGCCAAACCAGACCAGGACATACGATGGCGAGGGCTTCAAGAAACGAGCAGCATGTCTGTGCTTTAAGAATGAACGTGAGGAAGAGGTAAGAGATTCCGCAGTCTTACGTTATCTTTTAGTGAACCACATACACTATACATCTGAGTTGAGTTTGACTTTGTGGCCTAGGCTTGTCATCCCCCAGTCATTCATACAACAGATGGATTAATATGGGTAAAAATGACAATGTGCTTTGTTCGTGCAAATGAGGTTTGATTTATGACTCAACCTTGTCAGTAAAACGATATTTACACTGATATCTCTTTGTCATAATTACAATGTTTTGGTTTGTGATTCCGTGATATTGCCGCTGTTGATGAGCCTTGGGCAATCCAGTTTAGGCTAGTTTGAGAAGCACGTAGATACAGAAGAGAAAAGCCTTGTTGTCAAGGTAACTTCTATTGACAACTGGCCATTACCGTTATGAGTTTCAAAATAAAACTGGCCCAACAAAGACACCCATTCGAATTGGTTGTTAAATTAAACTAAAGGTCTTATTTTGAAGACGAAAACTGCTTTTCCTGTTAGCTTTTTGCTAGCTTGGAGTACATAACAAGAGGGGGCGAGGTTCTCTGTGGCACGTTTCTTTTAATAGCGGGTGTAACATGTCGGCTTCTGTCGAGTGAGGAGATACGAATATAGCAGCTAGTCTATGTTACTTTTATTGAATGTGTCTATCAAATGTCGCGTCACCACATTTAATACGAAACAGGCAAAGCGTATCACCACGCAATGGTCATTCATTATCATGCTGCATCCCGCCAGCAGTGAGCGGGCAGCTGCGTAGCTATTAAGTGGATGAGGATTTAAAGGGACCTCTACCAAGTAAATCATTGATATGGTGTGCTCTTTTTTCAGTTGTATACAACACAGTAGAATAACTTGGAAAGGGATTACTGTAAATTCAGTGGCATTCCTAGCCCATATATATTAAATACATAACAACAACAATGTTAGAATTATGTTAACATTTTTTTTTACGTTGTAGCCTAACTCAGTGAACTCAACAAAACTTGCTCAAATCACACAAAGAAGAATCGAACAGTAGTCCTTAAAAACAGAAAATGAGCGAACCAAAATAAACAGAAAAAAAAGTATCCAACCTGGTCAAATACTCTTACATGTGGGCGCACACACACACACACACACACACACACACACACACACAGACAAACAGAGTCTACGAAGGCCTACAAATGTATACAAAAGTGACCAGCTTCATAAATAGCACTATCTTTTGGTTAGACAGTTTTAAACAGACTATAGTAATGTAGTTTTGGATTGAGCAAAACTGTCTTTAATTTTTTTTCCAGAAAATCAACGCTTGGCAAAATTGGTAATTTAATATGTTGTTTCAAAGGTAGTCACAGCCTAGGGTTATATTTTAAGGACTTTCAGCTGTTTTTTGTGTAACACATGTTATCCTTACATAATATTTATGTCCCACAACTTACTGGGTTCCATGCAGGGTTAATAATAGGCATGATTCCATATTACTGGAAAGCAATATTTATGCCCAAACATCAGGACCCATGTCTCTACTATTTTGTCATATTCTTACAAGTCTAAATTTAGCCTCCTTTTTGAGCTTGGGATAAACAAACTGTTACACAATATAGTGTAAAAGAAGCCCAGTCTGGTGTCTCTAGACTGACAGAGAGCTCTGCCAAGCTCTCCAGTGTTTGGCTGTACAACACACAGATACAAAGCTTTAAACAGAAACACAACACAATATCCACTCAATTATAAATGCATAAATGTTATGTCATCCTTGTGAGTTTTAAGTGTAACCATTAAAAGGTACACTGTGTTTTGTTGCTTATTACTTGTAGTCACAGTAAAGGACAGATATTGTCACAACAAACGCGTGAAGGTGTGACCACTAACCTCAGGATTTTCAGGCTTTGACTGACATGTCTGCTCATGCAAGATGAATGTGCTTCAAGTAGGAGCAAATCTGGGGCTCTGATTTCAATATTTGGTGCTTACAATGGCAATTTTCTGTCTAAAGACACTTGAACTATGGGCCATTGTGTAATCAATACTTTCCTTAAACACATGCCTACGCACAGACAATCAGTTCCTAGACACAGGACACCTGGCTGTGGTGAAATGAAAGCCATACACACTGCTGGACTGTTTTGTTTTGGATTGGAGAGGAGAAAGCTGAGCTCTGGGTGTACACTATGACAGCATTTTAAACTCCCAACAGGGGAAAATAGGAACCTGACAGAGGCTCAGGGGTAGATGAGTAGTTCACAGCAGTAGACAGCATATTTTCTTTGCTTGGTGCTCACCTGCCAAGAGAACCTCTTAAAATATTTTACATGGTGCTGTGAGGAGTTGTAGTTATTCTTATTTCACACATTTTAACATTCTGAAAACTTAAAAAAAACATGCAACACATGAAAGTAAATAAGTAAAACATGTAAAAAATATTACAATTTTATATATATATATATATATGTATGTATGTATGTATGTATGTATGTATGAACTATGTTTTGAGGTAGTAGTGAGGCCCTCTGGTGGCCAAAATATACCACAAACACTTAGAAACATATACTACACATCACAAAAACCTTAAACGAGCGCAACATGGCAGCAAGCACTGTCATCGTTTGATCTCGATTATCTTGTTTTCATGATCGTGGGAAGACAAAATTATAATTGAAATTGAAACTTGATTCATTGCCCAGCCATTGATTTGTGTGTTTTTTAATTAGGGGCAAAAACCAAAACCAAACTGTATATCATTATTACCGTGTTTTGTGGTGTAGGGTTAATTTAATACCACAAGTTCATGAGCTGGAATTTCTCTGGCTGACTTGCAGTGCGCTCCATGTTTATCAGAGTGTAACCCAGAGGCTACATATTGAAGGCACTGCAGCAGGTTGTAAATAATGATGTACTGGAAATGGGAGGAGGCGGTTATCAGTTTAGTGGATAAAAGTGGACTTTTATGATAAAGTCAGAAATGTGGGAGTTTGGACTCTCTCTTTGGCTCTGTGTTCACTCTTTACCACTCCTCTCTCATTTGTTGATACTTGAGTAATGCAGACACTGTATTACTGTCTTAGCACTATTGATTCCACCCCATCACCCCCATGGCATTTGGGGCCTTCTTTATTTGACAGCTACAGACGTTCCTCCTTTGGGAGGAGGAGGAGGAGGTATTAATGTCCTCCAGAATATCCCTGCCTGCTGTCCCTGTTTGAGACCATGCCAGAGAATTCTCTGTCAGAGCCTGTGTTTTACCACCAGTGCCACTTTTGACAGCTTAGGTTGAGAAAATGAGTTAAGAATGTAAAAAACTAGCTGGTTATAAAAAAAAAAATATATATATATATATATATATATATATATATATATATATATATACACACACACACACATCTCTGCTTATTTAGAAAAAGAGATGACACCACACAGGTCTGACAGATGAAGGTCTACATGTTTAGTTTGCTCAAGAATTTACTCAACTCCCTTTTCACACTAGCCCCCCCCCCCCCAAGTGGTGTGAGTTGCAAAACAGTAAAATGTCACTGGGAAAAACTTGTTTCACTGTGGGAGGGGAATCTCCTCCAGCCTGCCTGTTCCCAATATAAGTGGGTTTTCTGTGCTTAGAGTTCACCTGTCAGCTGACCCTTGACCTTTCTGTCACACTGGTGCTAGTTATTTTGCTTCTCGGCAAAGCTGCTTTTTCTGATTGTCCAAAGTTGAAGGGAAAGCTCAGGAAGATTAAGGATTTGTTTTTAAATGATGTGTTGGTCTTGAATGTCACTACCTACGCAATGATATGCAAAAATAATTTATGCACGGATTGAGTCAGACTAAAAGTAATAATTACATAAGTGTGCACAGCTGAAAGTATTAATATGATTGATCATAAATGAATAAATAAAGTAATATTAATAGTAAAAGGAAATGGTTTAATCTGTTATAGTAAGCTAAAGGCTTACCAAGGCGCATGTGTAAAGTATTGATATACAGCAAGAGCGAGGTCATTGATAAGGTTTTAGAGTTAGCTAAAAGAGTAAGTGATAGTTGCTTTAGGCTGAAATAATGGACCAGCACTTGATAGTTGTTGACAGTTTACTGGAGATATGGATACAAGCTTCATAATAAGCTAATAGCAAAGTGTTAAGAACTAATAGTTAGCTTAAGCTAATGAACATTTTTTTTTGCTATTTAGCTTAATGCTAACTTTAATGAACTTATGGTAAATAGTGTTAAATAATATCCAATTTAAAGTCGCACTCTGTAGATTTGGTAGTGACATTTGAAAGTTGGAGAAGTAAAACTATGATGTGCTATATTTCTGAACTAAAAACACAAACTTTATTCAAAGGAAAAACTACATGGGTGCACCTTTAAATGAATTTCAACATCAAACATTTGTAACTTGACGTTGTGTCAAACGGTTCATCAGACAAAGTTAAAAGAGTTTAGATATGTTTTCAGTCATCACCACACAAACTTAAAATACTTAAATTTTTTGGTCATTTGCTAAATTTCCAAAACTTTTTTAATTGATTTTGTGGAAAGTGAGATGAAAGGAAGTTTCCAGGTTTGAGTTTGTTTGATGACAAACATGTCTTTCCTGTAAGAATGTAATTTTACCAAACACCAAACCCCTGCCACTCCCTCTTCTGAACATGTTGCTGTATCCCTCTCATAAGCACATGTGAAGCAACAAATTCTTAATTACATACAGTTTGTAATATGTGGATTCAGTGCTCTACATTCCTGAATCCATTGAAGCAAACCTAAATGCAGCCTGTGTATTCTGAGGCGTTCCTCTATAGCACAGCAACCGAAAGATAAAAATGGAACAACCAGAGCAAAAATCTGCTATGTCCTCACTGTCCCGGAAGCTCTGTGGCTTTTGTTTTGTATACATCTCACGCTGTCGGCTTAGGACACATTGACACCAGTGATCTCCTTTTAAGCCTCACTGGCTGCAGCTTAACACAAAGGCACACACGTTCAGACAGTGATGGTCTGACTGCAGTTCTCTAAAACATCTAACGCATCAAAAAAACCTCAAAGAAATAAATGAGATCTTTAATTTTGTCTGCCACTGAAAAAGCCTGCATGGAAGTACATGTGAAGTGACTTAATGCAGATAACAGTCAAATGAAGAAGTTGAATAATTAAACTTAAGCTGTCAGACAAATATCCTGTAAAACATCTAACATACTGAAGCATCCAAAGGTGAACGACCTCTTTCTCAGATCAAGGGTTCACACTGAGTTTGCTTAAGATCACTTCATTGACAAAGGTCAACCTTTTCATCAAAGAGCTCACTCAAGCAGGTTACGAGCTTCAACTTTGCACTTTTTTATTTTATTTTATTTTTTTACATTTTGCAATCCACTGAGAAAGCGTAATTTCCTGCGACAGGTGGCTCAGCTGAGTGAATGTGACACGTGAGAAAGACAATGCCCTCAGCATGTGCCGACCAATCAGGTCTTCCCTGGGCCTTGGCCCTCAGCAGATCCTCGAGAAGGCCTCTGGTCCAATCAGCCATAATCCCATTAGAGAGCGTAAGGGAAGATGTACGAAAGGCGAGTTAGGATTAAGTGACAGACTGACTCCTCTGGCAGATTAGTGGACATGGAGATCAGATGGTTGACAGCAGTGATGTCACCATATGTTGAACTGTTAAACAAGAATGGTCCATCACAACACTTGATCATCATTAGGTTTCTGTATGTGTTAATGCTCACAGCAGGTGTGCATATGTCTGTTGTGGTTGCTATATAGATACTGCGGACACAGGCACATCCGATCCACGCGTATCAGACTTCACTGCAACTGTAGTGTCATTCAAGCAACACAGGCCGCTCAGGGAGCGCTGACAAGAGTCCAGTGGCTCATGCTTGGTTAACGTTCATTGTTTGCTGGGTTCAGGTTGTTTTAACTCCGCCTTTGATTAAGCTTCATCACAATGCTGAAGAATCCCCCCAAAAGTTATTTTTGGAAAGTTGATAAATACCTGATGACCCTGCAAAACACAACTCATTCAAAAAAAAAAAGAGGAGAATTTTCCTCCGTTTAAAAAAAAAAAAAAAAAAAAAAAATACGACTGGACGCTGTTGCCCAGTTTTACTTATTACGCTTTTTTTTTTTTTTTTTTTTTTACAAATATGGATCATTCTATTTGTAGCAAATATATCAGATTAAAATACTTTGAGCCTTCAGGGCTGTGTTGGATTTAAAATCTGTTAGCAACAACGCAGAATAAATAGCAGCAGCATCATCAATCATATCATGTCCCTGAGACCCGAGTCAAAAGGGTCAAGAGCTGAGTCTCATGTTGAGTCCTCCGTTTCAGTCTGACAGTTAAAGTCAAGGTCACTGAAAAGAGGCAACAAGTGAAGCTAACAGTGTATCTTCCATTAAATGAACCTCTGAAACTACTGTGTCAGAGGTGTCTGTAAGAAATGGACATGCTTTAAACCTTGCATTTTAATTTCCAGGTGTTGCTGGTTAGCAGCAGCAGGCACCCAGACCAGTGGATCGTTCCTGGAGGAGGGATGGAGCCAGAAGAGGAGCCGTGTGGAGCCGCAGTGCGAGAGGTGTTTGAGGAGGTGAGTAAACCAAAGAACTCATCTTGTTTTTATTAATATCACATGAACCTAATCTCAACTCCAAGGCAAGCTGCATGAGATATGAATGCTTGAACATAGCATATTTGCAGCGATTCATTCAGCTTGATTTTAAAAAAAAGTCCTAAATACAACCTCTCTAGGGTATTATACAAAGAAAGCATCTGACATTTTATCATAAGAATGCTTATATAATATCCATGTTGTCTTGTGATTGACTGGCAACTAATCCAGGGTGTACCCGGCCTCTCGCCCAATGGTGGCTTGGATTGGCCTCAGCCCCCGCCCTGAAACCCCAAACGGGACATGTGGTATAGATACTGGATGGATTGATATCTAAGTTGCATACATTTTGCAACAAATATTGAATACTATTCAAAGACGTTGTAAAAAAAGTCATTTTCATGTTTAGACCAATCACATTGGCTCTGCACACAGCACATCTGACAGTCTGTGTTGTGCAGATCTGAACAGTATATCACCTGAGACAGAATCAGAGGACACTTGAAAATATTAGTTTCACTTTGCCACTGAGTGGTAAGTTACATGTTCTATCCATATTGCAGCAGTTAGCGTAAGCAAGCAACGTTAGCTCGGATGCACAGCTTGTTTTTTAAATGATGGCTGTGTACGGGCATACTGGGGCCTTGCAGAAATGAACTCCATTTGGCTTTTCAACTGCAGTCCACATTCAACACTCACGGCCTGCAAAAGTCACATGTGAGTTTTAATGCATGGTGTAGACTGCTTTGTCACTCTGATTGGTTTGCAGACTTTTGTGTGCAATTATTATTATTTTTTTTTTACAATTATCTGAACATAATCACACGCAATTCAATCCCAATACCAGAAAGGTTTTCACAGGGACGATGGTGGCCTAGTGGTTAGTGCGCGTGCCCCATGTATGGAGGCTATTGTCCTCCAAGTGGACGGGCTGGGCCGGGATTGAATCCGACCTGTGGCTCCTTTCCTGCATGTCATTCCCTACTCTCTCTCTCTTTTTCTCTCTCATAAGAAGCACCAAAATATACAGTACCTTAAAATAAGACTTTCAGACACTAACATGAAGTAATATATTTAAAATGTGGATTAGAACAAACTTGTAACACATTCAGATGCTCACTATGTACTGAAGACCTGAAATAACATATTCACACGGCTGTCTATATTCAAAGTCAAAATGATCATAGTAACAATTTGAACTCGAGTGAAAAACACATTCACTGTTAAATATATTCTCCATACATTGCATTCTCAAACTTGAGTTTCAAACTTGTGATACAATTGCTTAAAAGAACACTCCCATAAATTGGCTATTTCACATTTGCTTATACAAATATCGATAATGTAAGTAAATTAGTGAATGAATAATAAGTTTAAAAAATACTCCTGTGATATAAATGTTCTGGGTCGGTGTTTGCTCAAAGGTCAGTCATGATGACATACATCTGCTTGGATAAGAGTAGGTCGTTCCAGTCATTATACTTATTCTTAGAAATCCTGTAAAATGTCACCAGTTCATGTGGGTGCATCATCAAGGCTAAACAACTCTCACATCATTATTAATTTCCTGTAAAAAAAGAGGTGGAATAACTAGAAGTGGAGTTCTTGGGTCCAAACAGTTGTCGGCATGCTCTGGGCGAGATTCCTTCAGGGCCATGGTATCGGTAGCTGGGTGTCTGAGGTGTCCGCTGGTATCCCAGAGGTCCCACTCAGAGCCACGTCAGAGGTCTAAACTTGGCGGCTGGCTGGATTCCTTTGCATTCTCGCATTGTGCAGTCCGTCCTGCTGGACACATCAGCGGGACAGAGTGACACTTGTGAAGTATGCTGAGCAGAGGCACTAGAGAAGGGGAAAGCACACATGTCATATGTATTTACAAGTAATTTGATTCATGTAAAGTGCATCTGAATTCATAAAGCAACTTTTAAGTGTTATGAACGAGACAATCTGACATTTCTTTTATAAAACGCTCTCAGGATTCATACCAGGTTTTTTTTCTTTGCCCCTTACTAAGAAAAGCTATTAAAAGAATCACAGTAGGGCCAGCTACAATGATGTCCTTCCCTGAAGACCTTATACCATCCATAATCTTATCCAGAAACCATTAAACAGTTAAGAGAAACTGAACAAGCCACAAAGCTACACAGAGAAAAAATCAACTCAACTTCTGTCTGAACATGTTTTTTTAATATCAAAACCAAGCCTGCCAGATTAATGTATTGCTTAGTGCGTGGAGTGCGGCCCTGATATTCTTGAAAATATTAAAAACGGGGCGCTGATGGCCTTGCGGTTAGGTTGCGCCCCGTGAGAAGGCTACATGTGGCTCCTTTTCTGCATGTCATGACACACTCCTGATTTCCTCCTTATTTTTTCCCAGGCCGGTGTAAAGGGCAAGCTAGGACGTCTACTCGGTGTATTTGAGGTAAGCTTTTAATGGCTGTCAACTAAACCTATCCATATACACAGAACACTTAGACAAAAGATTAGCAAATGATTCCTTTTGTGTCACATTTGTTGTTTTGTGTTATTTGATATTGAGTGTTCTTTCCTTTCTGCTCCTTGAAGCAAAACCAGGATCGGAAGCACCGGACATACGTGTACGTGTTGACCGTCACAGAAACACTGGAGGCCTGGGAAGACTCGGTCAACATAGGTAATATCCCCCCCTCACCTTCTCATCAATGTTTGCAGATGCTATAGGTAGCTCACGTTTCTCAACACGCCGTATCTTTTGATATATATATGAAGGCTAATGTACTGCAGGGAGACTATTTGGGCATTGAGCTCTGCAGTGACAACAGGTAACCATAAATCTGTTAGCCTCTGTTGTTAGCAGCAGTGGTTCTTAGCATCTGTTGTTAGCAGCAGTGGTTCTTAGCTGGTGTATATTACAGGTGTCAGAAGGCTGCACACCAATATTCTGCCTTCCTTTTATGTTCTCTGTGGAGAGCCTCTTCTACCTGATGTAGCACTCGACATTCACACTTCAAATCTGAAATAACTTTTTTTTTTTAATTCATGCACACATACAGGTAGTTATGCATGTCCTGTTTCATGTGCATAAGAATGTATTTCTGTCTTTGTAACCTCGTTAGCCAGACGAGAAATGTACGCAGGACAGAATTGAAATGCACATTGCCTGTTGTGGTACCTTGCTGTTACCACATAGTACTAAAGTGCTCCATCACATTGTACTTCCTGATTTCAGTCAGAAAAAATAAATATGTCTTCCTTTGATCAAAAATAAATAAAAAGAATTGCAGCAATGAAATCTTATGACCTGTTTGTTTATAAAGCTGTAGAAAAAAAGCCATGAGGTATAAAGGAGGGACAATATGTTGTGTTTTATGTCTATTTTCAATGTTTTTTAGATTAACACAAGACACACCATGTTTGGATTGTTTTTAACTATTATACCACATTATAGTTTAGGATTTAAGGAAAATAAATAAAGAAAAGGTCCCTCTTCATTCATGCATGCTGCTCTGTCTCCCCCTGCAGGCCGTAAGCGGGAGTGGTTCACAGTGGATGAGGCCATCAAAGTGCTGCAGAGCCACAAACCCGTCCACGCAGAGTACCTCCGGAGGCTCCAGCTTAGCTGCTCCCCAACCAACGGAAACTCTATTCTCCCGAGCCCCCCACCCAATGACAACTACCCTCATTATAGCGCTACAGCTACCACCGCCTCCACAGGCAGCGTGTTGGGCACATCCTGCAGATAGGACTGCACCTAAAAACCTTGAGTCCCGTCCCCCTCGGACAGCTCACTGAAAGTCTGTACAGTCTGCATGAATCTAATGACTTTGAGTTACAACTCTCCTGGTTCTATCATTTCTTCTTTTAGCTGCAGGACAGACCAAAGCTGTCGCCAGAACTGTTCAGACTGATGCGATGGAGCTGAAGAAATCTCTGACAGGAAAAGCTGTGGAAATAATACATATCTCAAAAAAGACGTTTAGTTTTCTTTTGCTGGCATACAGCAGAGCGATGAGCCTGAAGCTTGAGAAGACGATGCTTCAGCCACATCTGCTGGTGAATTACTCCATGAAAGAATGCCTTACAATAAGTCTGTATGAATGTTATATTTCAGCTTTTTTATTTCACTGACGGTCATTTTTTTATTTAATTTTTTAACACAATGGATATGCTTTCCAGTCAATAAAAGAGTAATTGACACCAAAGCACATCCACATGGGGAATGTTTCCAGACTTTATAATACCATTGTCTCTATCCCATGATGATAACAGCAGATTTCATATAATATAATGCAGGGCAAGTTTAAAAAAAGGACAATTCAATTTGAATGTGCACCCTCACTTATTATTGCTAATCAACAAAAAAAAATGCAGCTGCTGTGAGGAGTGCTGGTTATGAAAGAGAGTGTCAATAAAATTGAAGCCCCCTCAAAGACTACAAAAGCAAACCAGGGCATTTGGATGACGATTGATTGGACAAAGTGCACGCTGCAGAAACCGCCTTTTTTGTTTTGTTAATATTCCACGGCAAAGTGAAACATTTGACAGTTTGAATAAAGCAGGGTGAATCTTTTTATAGACGCATTACTTACACATTTACAGGACACAAATTAGCATTGGGATAAAATGTACAGCTTTGTCCACAGGGGGCGCCAACATGGCCACAACAAATTGAAACCTTCTTTTCTTTTTAAATAAATTTAGCAAAATACCATCACAGTAATGGATTTAAAGTCTAAACTGCAGGCTCGAAGGTCATAGACTCTAAGATATCTCACAGGTTGTGAGTGAGTTGATACCTCAGTCAACTTAAAACTGGATCCAAGTTGAGACACTGTGTTTGTTATCCTTCGACACGACATCACTGTGTTTATAGTCTAACCTTACGAGTCCACTAACCTTGACCGATTCAGACAAACCGGTCTGTTGTCCATTTGGAGCCTCATGGCGGTGGCACCTTTTTTCTTCAGTGCTGGTTGTTTCCCAGGCTGTCGAAGTGAAAGAATTTAACAGTGATTCTTATATCTGCTGCTAAGGTCAGTTGAGTTCATCTCAACACCAGTACTCCCCCCCCCCCCCCCCCCAACCTGTATTTTCAGTGACTGTTCTACAAAATGAATAGTAAGCAGTTTTTTCATCTCATGGTGCTGCTTGATTAAAGCGACCCAATGTCCACTACTGTATCATAGTTATTTCCACTCAAACAAGAAGACTCATCTCAGGCTGCTCCCCCCACCTTTGTTTTGTTGTAAAGCCTACAAAAAGTGCCCGGCATAGTTTCTGATTGTTCATTAATCCACTTATTTCTGCTCTTCCTGCTGCCTCAAAGTTTGAGGAGTCACATATCTCAGTATTTATACTGCTCTGTTTTGTTTCTGGTTGAAGCAGAAACAAACAGTTTTGGGGGCATAATGGGGCCTTTAGCTTCCACAGCCACATCTCTGGTCCTCCCTGTATTATCTCTCATGCGTCTCCAACTAGACACTATGATTTAATATGAAGACGGAAACCCAAAGAGAAATGGCTCAAATCCAATTTGCAGTTCAAATGTCACATATCATATATATATATATATTTTGTTCTTTTGCTGTTCCCACTGAAAAGAGACACTCACTCCTGTGTTGACCGCTGAATGATGACAAGTAACAATACAGAGATTTGTAAATCGCTTTGAAGAGCAACATTGTGTTTTTATCTTGAATGGACATGTACATTTTCTCTCAATATTTTCTATATTTTCTAACGATGTATAACTGGCAGGAAAACAATGTATAGAAAACCCACCAAGAACAGTATGTACAGTTTCTTTGTATCAATGACTATGTGCCACAGGTTTAGGATGCTGGTATGGAGTTGGGATTGTCTGTGACCAAACATACAGTGGACAGGGTTACATTTAGAATTGAATGTGCTTGTCTATTTATAATGTCCTTTAGAATGAGATGTGAAGTGAGCCAGCACAATATGAGGATTTACAGATTGAATCTTGAAGATTTCAGGAGTGCTTGAAAAACGAAATTTAATATCTTGACCTTTTTTTTTTTTCACAAACTAGAGAGCAGCTTGCTATTTTGTGTGTGAAAAACACAAGATTGTGTCTTAATGACTGAGGACAAGTATTCAAAATTGAGTTTTGAAAGATTTCAGGAGGAAGAAATGCAGTTTTTTGGAAAACAAAGCAGGATGATAATGCTCAGAGGGGTGGAAGCTTTAGTTTGAATCTTTCACACGTTAATGTTTCTTACAGATGTTTTGTAGGATTAAAAACACACATCTCCCCTTCTTACACACGTGGCTAATCGTAGCTCTTAAACTCTGATCTCTGTAAACTGCCTCACTACTAAGTCCATTCTGCAGATACATAAACTCTGGCACACCATTTCAGCCATCACAAACTATCATCCTTGTTTGAGGGTCAAAGAAGGGACTCCCACCACCTTAAGCCTCCATGTGTATACGTGTGTATTATCGGTCAATGAATGTGAAAATGATGTGCCAAATTTCAAAACGTGTGAGTGTTCAGGTGGGAATTTAACATGATAGAGATTTTTAGACCAACTGTCATTTTAGACTAAAGTCATTTTAAATGTGAAAACTTTTTAGTTATTATATCATGATAATAATAATTATTCTTCATCACCTTATGCTTTATATGTTACAATGATTTTAAAATCCACTCAAATCCAAATAACATCAATGAAACTTTAACCGGTTAATGTTGAGTATCATAAAACACCTCCTCCTTCCACTTTCTGGATCCTATGTTTGAGTCTCTGTCGATCTGTGAATGCTCCTTTTATAGAGAAATCATGACCGCAGGGATACAAACCATCAAATGAAATCTATGTGCTCAGGTACAAAAAAAAGAAATCCACCAAATGAGCGCTGTGACATGAATTAAAGACGGCATGATTGTTTGCTAAACACAATTTTAATGTTGCATGGATGTATCCAGTGCAAACGATTTGTCACCATTTTTGTCATGAATATTATGCACAGAAACTTTAAATGTGAAAACCCGGACTGGAAAGATTGTTTTTGGGAGAAGATTGCATTAAAGGGGAAAACCGTATATCATACCTGTGGTTGAATTTTTTTTAATCTACAGTATACACAGTGGAAATGTACTAATACTCTTTAAATCTGCAGGGTAAACCCGGAGCTGCTTCCCACCCCGACTCTCTATTCTCAGCAGGGATTAGCATCTCTTGTGTTCCTTGTTTATTGGCTGACATTTTTGGGTTAGTGTATTAGATGACACACTGACCATGTGCCTTCAGGACAGCTTAACCCATTGGTCTTAAAGTAATACTAGAATTGGCAACTCCTTAAGCTACCATCCTGGCTGTTGCAGCCATTGCTACCACACTCTCTTTTCCACCTCCAAGCTGAAGCAAACTGATTTAAAGCCCTTGAGCACCACCCATAGACAATCATCAGTCAGTAACCTTGTTGGGATGTTCTGTTTTTTAAGTATACTATACAAGTTCACTCAAAAAGCACAAATGTCTCACAAACAGTCACAAAAGTATTTCAGGTAATTGATTTTAGGGGAGATATTTATCAAGTTTAAAAAGACATCAGGTGTATTATTGTTGCCACAACGCCCCCTGGGGGTTAAATGGCGTGACATCTCTGTCTTAAAACAACTTACTACATACTGTACTCTAACCACCCCTGGAACAAGTTCCCATCGTAAATCAGCCCGACCTGCTTTGGATTACATGAGTAACGGTTTACCCACCAAGCTAAAGAGAAGACAAGCTACTACCAACTATTTCACAATATGAGGCAATGACATCACTTAAAACATTTAGTTTTTAAAACCTTAAACTTTGAACACTTTTATTTATTTTTTTAAATTTTGAACATAAATATAGAAAATATAGAGTAGTGAACTTCTAAATTGAATGCAACACTGCAAATGATCAGTGTGAATATGACTTTCCTACGGCTGATGGCAAGTGAGTTATGAGCCTTGAACACTTAATGACTTACACCACATGGTGGCGCTATAGTATACTTTATGAGTATTGTATAATAAGTAACCATATGGCCAAGTTTGAATACTTTAGCATTAGCTTTCAAGAATTGCTCCGATTGATTTTTAATATTTAGTTGAATCCTGGTTGTATATATTCTCATTCTTAGTTTTGATATTTTTAGTGCTTATTTACTTTGTATTTAATATTATATTGTGTTTAAATTTACTAATATTGTGTGTTTGGATAACCTGCTGCTGTAACACCACAATTTCCTAGTTTGGGATCAATAAAGTAATTCTATTCTATTCTATTCTATTCTATTCTAAAGAAAAGTCAAAGCGCTCGCAGCACACATGAACAGGGGTCTGCATTGTCGGTGAGTAACTTTTGCGTTTTCTCGGAAATTGAACCCAGTATGTGCGAGTTTGGTCATCACCTGATGACAACTCTTGGTTTTTGCCGTTAAACTTTCAGCGCTTCAAATGTGCAAATATTGATCATAAATGTATTTAATTTATTATTTGTTTTCCTGGGGACTGTTGACATATTTGATGAAGTTTGATCTAACATTTAGAAAATGTTTGGCCTACAGTACTGATTACAGCAAAATGTTTGCTGTCGCTACCGGCACACCATTTAACGGATCTTAACCAAATTGGATATGTGTGATGTGGCGTATCTAAACAATCAATGTACCAATTTTGGTATAATTTCGGTAAAGGGTTACAGTAGATACGCTTTGCTAATTGTATTTTCCTGAGGCCTGAGTGAGTTAACTGACCACATGGTGGCGCTAAGCTACAGGTGTCAACTTTTAAGCATGTTACCATGAGGAAAGTTTTTAAGCTATCAGCTTCCAAAAACTGCTCCCTAGGATTCCATTATCATTTTTAAGAGTTAGAAGGAAACAGGCCAAGAATCTGCCAGCAGCAATGAGCAGAACAGAGAAGTGAACTTTAGTCAAATAAAAGTTCATAAATGTACAGTCATTATTGTTTGCACTGTTTATAACTATAAACTCAACAAGCTCTGACACCGGCTAGAGTCCTATCTTCACTTTGTTTACATCGCCTGGACGGCCGGCTGGCTGACTCCTCCCCTCGTGTATAAAAGTGGTTTAATTGAGGGACTAGAGAAAAGAAGAATAACATACTGTACTCACTGCTTAACTGTGTTTCTAGATCACGCTCATTTCAGGTAAATTTACATGCAGTGTGAAGATACGAGCATACTAAAGATCGCTAGCATTAGCATGCTAACACAACAATGCAGTGCAAGTTGTTTTGGTTTCATGTTGGTGCTCAAGGGCGACATCTGCTGGATCAAAAAATCACATATTAAGCCTTTAAATTAAACAAATGTGAATATTTCGCCTAAAAAAGAACTTAAGACTCAGAATATGAAAAGGAAAAAAAGTCAAATTGATGTACAGTACTTGAGTAGGTTAAATGTATGCTACCTATTTCTATAGTATTAAACTGGAGGGTTAACTGATCAACCATCATGCTGCGTCACCTGACACCTCAGGTGCGTCGCCTCAAGCCCCGCCCCCTCTCAGTGTCAGTTAGTCGGTCGATTCACCTGAGTGGGACAACAAAGCAGGACTAAACACTGCTCCAGGAAATGTACCTATCTAGTTAAATGAAGGCTCCCATCTAGACTCTTTGCAGATTCGCTCACAATGACCGAAGTGTTTTTTAAATCTGCGTTATCTGTGAGAGAGTCCTTTGTGCTGGATGACACCAGTCTGGCTCTGCCGGCCCAGCCGACCCCAACATCGTCGACTTGGGAGAAGTCGAACGACCGGAGCCTCCGGGTCCAGCAGCAGGTTCAGCTCACCTTGGCTCGGAAGGCGAAAAAGAGTGTGTCAAATGGTAAGGTGCATTTAAACAACCACTATGCTCAACGTACGGCTGAATGAAGGCTTAGGTGAATTTATCAAAAGAGATCCAAGATATGTGTACAGGCCACTCCTTTTACAAGCTTCTGTAAACCTGCAAGGACCATTTGTAAGAACTACATTACTTTGGGTGTTTAAATTGTAACAATGTTATTTTCAACACTATTGTAGGAAGCATGTGTGCTTCTGAACTTTATTCCTCTTTAAACGACGTCCTGATCCTGCTTTGACCCTTTGTCTGTGTCTGGGTGTGTTTTATGGGTATTATTGAGACCTTCAATCAGGGTGTGATTTGGCACTCTTCGCGATTGAATCCAGTTTTTATCTAATTATGCAAATGATGAAGCAGAGAAATGTTTTTCTTCTATCCTTAAGTTAAAGATCTTGTGAGTCCATTGAGGGTGTCCATTGCTATAAGAGACATTAGATATCAAGATGTTGATTGACTATCTTTTGGACAGTGCAGGTATATTATTGTGACTGGAATGCATGTGATATAGTAGTTTGCCTGTCCAACAGGTTTCTGCACTTTCATTCATCAGCATACAGGGAGATGGAAGTGACAGCTGACAAGGCCTGAGTTTAATATCTCACCTACTGGTCTGCTTTCTCTTATTTATTATACACCATCAATAAACATGCTGGGGTCAGCTCATTCTATTATCAACTAAAATACTTATAAAGCACTTTTAGCACATATAAGTAGTCTTCTTTGTACAAAATGATTCATCATGTCTTCTTTCTGTCAGATGATTTAAGTCTGTCTTTATTCCGCTCGTTTTATTCTTTGCATTAGTTTCAAAAGACGCCTGCAGCAGCAGAGTGTGTACTGTACTGTTTAGCTCAGGCAGCTGGGTGAGGGAAAATGCCTTTAAGCTGAGGCAGTCTTAGTTGTCATGTGTGTAGGTTGTTAGTGTGAAATGTTACACTCACACAAAACCTCTTCAACTTGTTTCAGGAAGTGTCCGTTTACAGAAAAACACAACAAAGAGCTTTGATGCTCCTGATGGACCTTTACCCAACATGAAGGTAAGGGAAAGTTTAACCTCGCTCTCTTTGTTTATTCATTCATTCATGCACACACACACACACTCTAACAGTTCAGAGACATTGATCATGTCGGTCTCTTTTGCTTTTAAAGTTCTCTACTTTCATGTCCGATAAGTTAAGGTGTGTTTTCCTCTGACTTAATGTTGTTCCTGTCAGTATTAGAGAACCATAGCTGCACTTTAAACATTTTACACCATCATTTGAATGTAATAAAATGAACTACTGCTGCATTATGTTTGAAACTATCGTAAACTATCGGAATCTTATGAATCACTGCTTTTTCAGGTTTTATTCAACTTTATGAGTTCATGAGATATACTCTGAACCTGGCTAAATACAAGAAATGCATCAAAAATAATGTATTTTAACAACTAGTTGCTACTAAAGTAAAAAAAATGAGACCATGGCTAAATTATAAATTATAGAGCTTTTTATTATTATTATTACTATTTAAGTTATTCAATTTTCTTTTTTTCTTTTAGTGTTTTGGTTCACTCTGCTGTTCTGGGGCTCCAGAGTTTTTTCAACATGTTCTCAATGAAATTAGTCAAAAAACACATTTTGTCCATGGAAACCAGATAAAGGCCAAACAAGTTTTTTAAACATATCCATCCTGTAGATTAAACCAAAACGCTACCCCCCTGCATATGTGGGTGTTGAGTTCTAAAAACAAATGAATATGAATACTCAGACTTTAATAAACTATACAACTGAAAATAACTGAATATCCATAAAGGCCTCGTCTCCTTTCTGGTGAAGATGAAGTGTAGTTTCTGTTTCTGTCAGGTAAATATCTGATCATCTCCTCTCCAGGGGGTCAGCAACTAGATATATTTTTTGATTTGGGAGTTGGGATAGGGTCTTTCTCAATCCACTACATGCATCTACCTGGCATGACAACACCTTCAGGATTAAAAAGAGAGAAAGAAAGGCTCAATAATGACCTTTTGTGACACTAGATGTATATACAGTGGGTACGGAAAGTATTCAGACCCCTTTACATTTTTCACTCTTTGTTTCATTGCAGCCATTTGCTAAAATCAAAAAAGTTCATTTTATTTCTCATTAATGTACACTCAGCACCCCATCTTGACAGAAAAAAAACAGAAATGTAGAAAGTTTTGCAAATTTATTAAAAAAGAAAAACTGAAATATCACATGGTCATAAGTATTCAGACCCTTTGCTCAGTATTGAGTAGGAGCACCCTTTTGAGCTAGTACAGCCATGAGTCTTCTTGGGAATGATGCAACAAGTTTTTCACACCTGGATTTGGGGATCCTCTGCCATTCTTCCTTGCAGATCCTCTCCAGTTCTGTCAGGTTGGATGATGAACGTTGGTGGACAGCCATTTTCAGGTCTCTCCAGAGATGCTCAATTGGGTTTAGGTCAGGGCTCTGGCTGGGCCAGTCAAGAATGGTCACAGAGTTGTTCCGAAGCCACTCCTTTGTTATTTTAGCTGTGTGCTTAGGGTCATTGTCTTGTTGGAAGGTGAACCTTCGGCCCAGTCTGAGGTCCTGAGCACTCTGGAAGAGGTTTTCTTCCAGGATATCTCTGTACTTGGCCGCATTCATCTTTCCTTCAATTGCAACCAGTCGTCCTGTCCCTGCCGCTGAAAAACACCCCCATAGCATGATGCTGCCACCACCATGTTTCACTGTTGGGATTGTATTGGGCAGGTGATGAGCAGTGCCTGGTTTTCTCCACACATACCGCTTAGAATTAAAGCCAAAAAGTTCAATCTTGGTCTCATCAGACCAGAGAATCTTCTTTCTCATAGTCTGGGAATCCTTCATGTGTTTTTTGGCAAACTCTATGCAGGCTTTCATATGTCTTGCACTGAGGAGAGGCTTCCGTCGGGCCACTCTGCCATAAAGCCCCGACTGGTGGAGGGCTGCAGTGATAGTTGACTTTGTGGAACTTTCTCCCATCTCCCTACTGCATCTCTGGAGCTCAGCCACAGTGATCTTTGGGTTCTTCTTTACCTCTCTCACCAAGGCTCTTCTCCCACGATTGCTCAGTTTGGCTGGACGGCCAGGTCTAGGAAGAGTTCTGGTCGTCCCAAACTTCTTCCATTTAAGGATTATGGAGGCCACTGTGCTCTTAAGAACCTTGAGTGCTGCAGAAATTCTTTTGTAACCTTGGCCAGATCTGTGCCTTGCCACAATTCTGTCTCTGAGCTCCTTGGGCAGTTCCTGCGACCTCATGATTCTCATTTGCTCTGACATGCACTGTGAGCTGTAAGGTCTTATATAGACAGGTGTGTGCCTTTCCTAATCAAGTCCAATCAGTTTAATTAAACACAACTGGACTCCAATGAAGGAGCAGAACCATCTCAAGGAGGATCAGAAGAAATGGACAGCATGTGAGTTAAATATGAGTGTCTACATTTCTGTTTTTTTTCTGTCAAGATGGGGTGCTGAGTGTACATTAATGAGAAATAAAATGAACTTTTTTGATTTTAGCAAATGGCTGCAATGAAACAAAGAGTGAAAAATGTAAAGGGGTCTGAATACTTTCCGTACCCACTGTATATATATATGTGTATATCCATACTGACTGTTCATTATGGATCAGGATGATTTTGCAGGGTAAGTGGGAAGTTAAAGTGACAGTTCTATCAAACTAAACAGGTTACAATGTATTAAAATCTAAATTGTTTCATTTTCAAAGGTTAATGGATTAGCACTTTCAACCAACCATGTGTGGAGACCCCCCAGGAGAGTGGAAGTGTCTCCACCTCCGAGCCCAGAGACACCACGCAGCCGCCTCACTTACAGCACCCATCGCTATGCCACGTACAGCCATCCAGGACCCGTACAGTTCCACAGGGGGGGCATCCTGAGGGACTACACTTCTGACTCATTTCAGCGCTACGCCGTCTCAGAGGCTCCGTGTATAAGGCGGCCGCTGGCGTCCACGTCTACTCTTGGGAGCTTCCACGGGAGGTCACTCAGACAGCCTGTGTTTGCAAACGCAGCGTTTCAGCAGAGTGGAGACTACGGCCCTCCCTGGGGTCACACCCAAAGTAATGTTAAACAGGAAAAAGAATCGGTGCAGGGACAGAGTGGGAATATGATGCTGGTCGACAAGCAGCCTGACGAGGGCTTCTCCTGGCTGGCTCGGGTCAGGAGGAGTGGTCAGAGGCCCCACAGACTGAACTCTTACCCCCCATCAGTCACCAGCATGGAGGTAGACATGGGAAGACAGATGGATGTGGCGCCTCCCGTTCAGCAGATTCAAGCACAGAACATCATGACCCTGTAAAATATATTTTTTTATTATGTTGAATACATTCTTACATTCTCTAATAACTGAATTTTGAGACACAAACAGAACGGATTTTGTCTTCCATGGTTATTTTCTAACACAGGAAGTCAGAGAACAAGCTTCCAGAGATGACAATAGAGAGGGCCATGAAACTCATGGAGGAGAAAAACGAGGAAACCCTAATCTGCGCAGCTGGTTACATACAGAATCAATGTTTCAGGAGTGCAGAAGCAAAGAAGATGGTAAGTGCATTCATGTACATAGTATGACATTTATTTCAGGATGTGTTGGCTGTAAATTATGTAAGAAAAACAACAGTTTGCAAGCCAGTTTCCCACATGTTCAAAGCAAAAACATGAATTCTCTAAGCTGGTTTGGCTTTGAGAGAGAGAGAGAAGTTTTGCGGGTGATCTACGAAGAAAATAACCTTGTGAAGGCGGTAGTATTTAAGTTAGGCTTTGCGTGTTCAACTGGTTTAAATCACGGAGAGTTTGGACAGAAAGCAGGATGACTGCAAGCGTTAAATATGTATTAGTGGGAGAGGCAAATAAACGCACAATACTTTAGAGTTATAGCAGATAAATCTGAATATTACAAAGAAAATTTTGGTTTTAAGAAAACCTCTGCATTAAACAGGGCCTCTCTTTTCTTCCCTTAATCTTAAGAATGAAGTGTAATACATTGCGCAGGAGGTGCGAGCTGTGTCCTCTGTGGCACGAGCGATCTACACTCAGCACCAGACAGCTGGCCAGCGCTGTGTCTGATCGGACATAAATGCCCTGGAAAAAGGTATCGAAGACGGGGTTACAAACAGTGGTGAGGTCCCCCAATCAAAGCGTCCTACAGAGTAGCAGCAGTGGGCTTTAGAGGGAGGTGACGAGCGTATTATGGAGAGGAGTGCACCAGAGGGGGCGAGCTGGGGGAGAGACGCACGACCCGAGAAAAAGGAAATCCCCAGTTTAAAATATAATGATGGCGAAAAGAGGGAAATAGGAAGACATAAATGTCAATGTTGAAATTCTATAGAATTCAGAGGCTGTGAATGTTCAGTTTTCTTTGGCTGTAGGCTATGGCAACAATAGCCTGTAGTTTAATCATGGTGTTTCTCTTCCTTAACGATTAGAATATTGAATCAAATAAAAAAATAAATGCATGCCATTTATTTTTCTGTCATTTGAAACATGCAAACACATGCCTTCTTTTGTTGTGCTTATGTCTCCTCCTAACTACAATAACAGCAGCCTGGATTAGCACATTCCTTTCAAAGGTGTTAAATACAGACACCGTCACAATCACCGCAATTTTTGCCAGGTTTGGTAAATCGCAATGCGTACTAACTTAACTTGTCCTTCTATACTAATTTGCATTTTCTCCTCCCAGTGTTTTGCACGTCAGGGCAGAAACGCCCCATATTGCATATTCATTAAGGCAAACGTACTAAATGGTCAATGCGTGTTGTTTTGCTCATTTGAAAGACGCAATCCTCACAGCGCGCTGTTAGTAGATCAGATAGCACTTTTTTGCTGGTGATATCAAGTTTGCACACGTTTTAAGACACGCAAACCTTTAGTAAATCTGGCCCCTAGATTCCTAACAGTGGTGCTAGATTCCAGGCTGATGTCATTAAGGACAGTCACATCACTAGGCAAAGTCTCTCTAAGGTTTTTAGGGCCTAGCACAATAACTTCAGTCTTGTCTGAGTTAAGTAGCAAAAGATTTCTGGTCATCCAGGTCCTAACGTTCTTAAAGCACATTTCTAGCTTACATAACTGACTGGTGCCATCAGGCTTCATTGATACATAAAGCTGAGTATCATCTGCATAACAATGAAACTGTATGGAGTGTTTCCTCATAATATTTCCCAGAGGAAGCATATCTAATGTAAAGAGAATTGGTCCAAGCACTGAACCTTGTGGCACTCCATGGCTAACTCTGGTGTGCATAGAGGACTTATCATTAACATGTACAAACTGAGATGGGTCTGATAAGTAGGATTCAAACCAACTTAAAGCAGTCCCCGTAATTCCAAGTAAATGTTCTAGTCTGTATAGTAGGATCTGATGGCCAATGGTGTCAAAAGTGTAGTTTTAAGACTTTAATTAAATATTTGGGTTGAATATAATTCGTTTTAACTGTGTTGTAGAAAAGTTAAATGTTAACTTACTGTTTATAGAGTTTTCTCAGGACGAGCAGGAATAGTTGATGATAGCAGCCTAGCTGCCAGCTATGCTGTCAAGTGGACTGCTAACGTCGAGCTGAATGAGCGGAGTTAAGTCCCGCCGGTCCCGCCTTACTGCTGTTGCTAGGTTGAGCCGAAGTTAGGTTGAGACTGCAAATCCAATATGGATACGGCCCTCGATTAGACTCATTTTCTGCCTATGTAACAGACGGGTCAGGGTTCGTCCAGTAATATTTACAGTCTATGTGTAGTACACATACAACATGACACAATGCTTCAATGTTAGCTATTTAGCGGTTAGCAAAACAGATCTCTGTGTTTACTCACAACTGGAGGCTTAATGTAATCTTCATAAACAGAAATATCTCTTCATAAAAATACATTCAAACAATATATGACATGTTACTTACGGACATATCAACTCCAAGGTATAAACGTAAGGAGATAACTGAGCTGCATGCACACTGCAGTCTGCTCTTTGTGTAAATGAAACTAAACTGAGGGTGAAAATGAAACTTAAGAAAACACAAGCGATACACAAAGTGTCCACCAGGGCGGCGGAAAAATGCCAGTAAGGCTTGTTATACAGGAATCAGAATAACGGTACTGAATCAAAAGCAGCTGAAATAGCTTCCTTAAATCTAGCTACAGCACTATCAGATAAACTTCTAGAGAGCACATTTTTATTAAGCAGAGCTAATTCTGATAGGACAAAGTCGAAAGTCCAACTCCATCTTTAAATCTTGATAGTAGGTTCAGGTTTTTAATTTCAGGGATGTGATTCTTACGGATTTATCTGGAATTCTGACTTTACTTAGGATTACGGTTGGGTTAACCTCAAACCCAATTTGCAGTTTTTTAAAGGACAGTTGAGAGCTATCTTGGCTGTTTGTGTTCATTGGCCAGTCTGTAAAATGATGAGAGCAGCCACGATAAGATAAGACATAAATGTGTTGAAGGGTTTGATGATTCAGTTATAAAAGCTGCTGCTGGCTGTGATGTTGCCCAGGTCTGCACTTTGGACATTATTTTATAACCAAAACCAGTGATACAGTGATATAAAACATATATTTAACCTTTTTTAACCAGGAATGTATGACGGAGGATTAGGGCCACGTTGAAACTTTTTCTTTTTTTTTAAATTTCGAGATTAAAGTCGTAAAGTTCGAGACCAACCTGTGCGAAAATGATGAAAGTAGAACTCTTAAAGTCTTTTCCTCTGCAGACAACTTCCTCCAAGTCAGTGTGGTTCATTCTTCAGTTTCTTGTGTTATCTTTTTAGGATGCTGATATTTTATGACAATGTGAAGATGATGATGTGCCAAAAGCATGTGTAGTTTCATAACTGCATAAGTAAAGCCCCAGCACAACTATTTGTGTCTGTTATCTGTCTGCCTTGTTGAAGTGTCTCATGTGCAGAGACAGTTTGTGTCCTGTTCATCATTTTACAGATAAACAAGTTCTTACAAGTTGAAGTGAAAACTTCTCTTGAACTAACTGTTTTTACCGACTACACAAGAAAGTAGCCTATTTCCTTATTAATGAGACCTTTAGGACAAGATGCTCCATGTTTGTCATTTGAGAACAGGATGCTGCTGCTCTTCTGATATAGACTAAAATAACGACTTTATTCTTTTATTCTTTAAAGACTTCAAGAGTTCTATTTTCGCGCAGGCTGGTCTCGAACTCATTAATTTACGAGAATAAAATTGTAAATTTACGACTTTATTCTTGTAAATTTACAACTTTATTCTTATAAATTTACGACTTTATTCTTGTAAATTTACAACTTTATTCTTGTAAATTTACGAGTTTAATCTCAAAATAAAAAAAAACATTTTCTTTTTAACATGGCCCTAATCCTCTGTCGTAGGAAAGAAAATCTCATTGAGATTAAAAATATATTTTTCAAGAGTGTCCTGGCCAAGACAGGCAGCAGCACGATTAACAGTTTCACACAAACAACGAGCAGCCAAACATCCAAATACAAAAACACATCGATATATATTATATTATATATATTTAAAATATGACATAACAGTCAGATTGTTAAATAGTAAGCAGCAGCAGAAGGCTCTCTCTAAATTACTATGGTTACGTGGATGAGTGTCTGAGTGTGCAGACAATGACACATGTACACTAGTTGTAGTTCATCCCATGGTTTGATGAATGAATGAAGATGTATTTACTTCTCCTTGATGTGAAGTTGTGTCAGATGTACACAGACACAAAGAGGACACAGAGGTTGTTACATTTATAGATTATAAATGTGTGCAGTTGAAACTTGAATGTGTGTTGCATCCTGCACTGTGTGTCTTTATACCATCCTTCCTGTTATAATTAACTTTATTGTTGGAAGTGTCCTCAATCCTTTTATGTTGTTTATTAATTTATTTAAAGAAACATTTCAGCTCTAATTCAAAGTTTTACAGAAGTTCTTCCTGTGTCACTGTCTGCAGATTATTCTTTTAACAATCACTTATTGACTCTTTTTCTAGGTGTTTTATCTCCATGGGATCGGAAAGCTCCTACAGCTCGTCCGCAGTGAGGATGAGGAGGTACAGTGTGTCGGTGCCGGGGCACTGCGTAATGTTGTTTACCAGAGCGCTGAGAACAAGATGGAGGTGAAGGACAACAACGGCCTGGCCACCATTTTACGAGCGCTAAAGAGCAGTCGTGATGTTGAGACCAGACAAGAACTTACAGGTTAGTTTTATATGTTTAAAACGAGTTGTTTGACCTGGGATAACCTGCTGCATCATGTGGACACACAGTCACTACAGCAGACACATGAGACCCCTAACATCTCACTGTTAGCATGTTTATATCCCACCCCCAGGTCTGCTGTGGAACCTGTCCTCTCATGACCTTTTGAAGGAGTGCCTCTCCAGGGAGGCATTATCCATCCTCACGCAGTCCGTCCTCGTGCCCAGTTCCGGCATCTCTGAAGGCGAGAACCCAAAAGACGAGCTCCTGGCTGACCACGGGGTTTTCCACAACGCTACCGGCTGTCTGCGGTAGGCTTCTTTGTTTACTTTGAAACAAGATACTCCGAGGGCTTTTGTATGGAGTCATCAGATACTGCTGGTGGTGTCAGATAATCGACTGATATCAAACAAAAGGAGTCATTTCAAAAGTTAGAACAAAAACAGTCATAATGCTTTTAGCTTAATGTCACTTAATCAAAAATGAAAACCACCACCATTAATGTGATCTTTGCATTTACCTTTTATCTTCAACAAATACCTGATCCCGTATTCACAAACATCCTGAGAATCCTCTCAGATAGCTCCTGACTTACATGTAGCGTAAAACGACCCGAGCAAGGATTTTTACTGAAGGAATGATGTAGGAGTGAGTTTAGTGAAGTTATCTCAGTGAGGAGGCGGGGTTGACCCTGTTGCTAGGTAGGACATTATTTCAGAAGCTGTGATTGGTTGAGCCAAACAAAAACAATTGGGTTAAAAAAAAAGTTCTCTCTTTGTCATGATTAGTATAGAAGGACAGTGAAGTCGATTTGGCCCGATCATAGAATCTAGTCAAACATAATAATTATTTACACTATGAAATTAGCATCTGTGTGATAAATGACAAGACGTACTTTAAGAGCATAAAGCTTGAAATCACATGCCCACTGGTGCAGCAACCTCTTCACACTCTGAAGGTAAAGAGCCTTTATGAATAAGATGGAGGAGTAAAGCTCATTCACAGGGATTCAACATGTCTGACTTTGTACCCACAAAAAAACTATGACTATGATTCAATAATAATATTCTTCATGTAGTGTTTGTAGACTTCCATTTTCTCCTCAGCTGGAGAAACTCTTCATCCTGTTTGAGTCCTCCTCACTCCTCCTCACAGTTTAACACCTGAGGAGCTTTCATAAGGGCTACCATGTTTTTATCTTCACAAGGATCTAGTCTTATATAAAATGTAATGATTATAAGACTTTTCTCACTAGGAGCAACTCTTAGTAATTAGGAGGCTATATGAATATGGCCTCTGATGTCTATTGGCTACTTTAAAAAAAAGTATTTTTGAGAACTGCTTCATCTTTAAGTTTGGTTAGTAAATCTTAGGTCACTGGCCTGTTTTTCTATTTCTTGTCAATTGTGGCACTGAGTAAAATCACAATGTGTCTTTGGTGGTCTTATGTAACACATCCCTGCCTCACTAGTTTAGACATACATTCTGACTGTGTTGACAAAAGGAGGAGATATCAGACACACACTTCCCCAGGCAGATCCAATGAGTAAAAGAGTGAATTATTCATGGAGCGCTCTGTTGCTCTGCCGAGCGGAAACCACTCAGTCCTCTCTGCTCCAATCGTGTTCTCCTTCATGTTCTCAAACCTTTAGAGCGCCCCCTGGATTAAAAAGTGATGTGTTACATTTAGTTACAGTCCTGAGAAGAACCTGTTGTGTGGAGTTCTACTTGTTGTTTTTTGAATTGTTTTGAATGTTACGATGACAGAGAAGTTCTCTGCTCAGTCTAGTTCATTCAGTGTTGTTGTCTTCTAACTGGAAGTAGTTCATACAAATCTAAAAGGATATAGTGAACTATTTCACTACATTGATGAAAATAACACCCCAGGTTTCCAGTTAGTAAGCTTTGATCATCTCGTCAATTTTGACATGATGGCCGAGGTTCAAACTTTTGTCTGGACATTTTTTCATATTTTCAATTTTTTATCACTGAATAAATCATTATATTTAAAGAAATATATGTAGCCATTTTTTAAAAATACATTTTATTAGACAGATACTTTATTGATCCTGAGGGAAATTCTAAAAAAAAAAAAAAAAAATCAGGGGAGAGTGCAAACACAGTCTCCCACTACCACAGACTTTGCAGTCCAGATTCCCACACAGGTCAGCCCTGCCGGAGTGCAATGGCCGGTCCTCGCCATGGGTGACGGGTAGTTAAAAGTAGCTGATGAACCTGAATGAAATGTCGCCGGATGGTGGAAGGAAACCCGGAGAAACCCAGGCGCTGACACTGGGAGAAAATTAAAAACTCCACACAGAGTGAGATGAGCCGTACACAAACTAAACTAAACAAACAAACAAACATATTCAAAGTGTGGGAGACTCTGTCTGATGGAGTCACACTAAGGGGGCTCCACGGTCAGATGATAATATGCTGGAGGAGTACTTTAAGCGTCTGAGCAGGAGATTGAGGATGTTGAGGTAAACAGTGTGTATCTGGATTGTTGTTGAGATTCACAGCCTCTCATTTTGCACCTGAAGGGGATAGATGACTTCTAATAGCTTCTAATAGTTTTCCTGAATGGACGGCAGAGTTTCACTACATTTTGATGTCTTGTTTCAGGTTTTAGAGACTACTGAGTTTTATCCCGGGAATCCTTCATCTGGTCCGACCTGAGCTCTTCATCACTTAACTGACTAAACTGTTTGTCTTGCTCTTGATTAAGGAGTTTTTAAAGTCTGATATATTTCCTGTATTTTGTAACAGCCGCAACCAATTTCTGCCGTTCCTCTCTCCCCGTTTTCAAAGCTCTTTGTGTCTGAACAAGCTCGTCCTGTTTGGTCTCTTCTTTTTCAAGAGAAGAGGTAATTTATCAAGTCTCTGCTAAAGCTCAGAGCTCCTCGTCATTTCCTCTTAGAGCATTTTCAACGTCTGCCTGTCCTGCTTGCTCTTGTTGTGGTTGTGCTTTGATCTCTTATATTTTACGATGGTACACAAATTCTTAGAGATGATATCACCTTTCATGAACTGTTGTCTTTGTGGTGCTGAGTGAGGCTTTAGTGTTTTGACTTTGAAAACATCTTATCAAAGCTCTTCTTTGAGTGCAGACTTCTAGACTTTTTCCAATTGACTTTTTTCCACACGCTGTCGTTTTGTGAACTCATGCAGGGCAGCTTCATGTTCGCTGTGCAGCTTTTTGTTGTCTGAAGTCACTTCCTGTGGATTTTGAGATAGACAGCTCAGCTTCTTATGTCTTGTGTTTCATTCCTCTGCAGCAGGACTCCAGCTTCACAGTCCCTCTGCACTGAACAACTGTTTGGCTGTTCCTTCTTGAGGCTGCAAACTGTTTTTACTTGATTCTGTAGTCAGACACATTTTTTGTCCTTCTCTTCAATGTTAGTTTGTAGAGCCCATCACTCTTTTCCACAATCAATCCAGCCAGGTTTTTGAATTGTTCAAAAGTTGAGCCCACAGTGATTTAAAATGTGTTCATGTCAAGGAGTGGTAAACAGTAACTGATCATTCTGATTAAATGATGATCTAACCTTCAGAGAGCAAATACATAAAAAACATTGGAAAAACTGGCCTTTTCTTAAACATTGTTTGCCACAGACAGAGAAAAGTCATTGTAAAATAAAATCAAAACCACGATAAAAACCTGATAACTTCTGTTCAGCAGCTGTTTTAAAGACGGTCATTTTTTAAGTCTGTATAATAAGAATTGGTTGTGATAACTACTGTCTTTGTTTCTGCATGAAATAATAATAAATCAAAATAATTCTATTATGTTTCAATGGGACTGATTCCTTCTTATCTGATAGAAACAGAGGCGCTGCTTAATGCTGCCAAACTTTAAACCACAGGAGTGGCTCAAAATGTGCACACTTTGCAATGACAGTGTAGGAAACCTCCCTAAGGTGGCCAAGTATGCCAATGCCATGCCCTGCCAAGTATCACAAGCATTTCTGCTGTGATAACCAAAGTTTGTCAATGAAAGTCCACAATGAAAACTGAAGAGGAATGATCTATGAAGAGAAAAGAAAGAAGAAGTCGAGTAAGTGTGGAGACACTAGCAGACACAACAGTGATGAACGCTGGTTGGAGGGGCCCCCAGTAGGGCTTAGGACCCCCGTCGCCCTGGCCTGATAGTTGTGACTGTTTTGTTTTTCAGAAATCTGAGCTCTGCTGGCCCTGACGGCAGGAAGGCCATGAGGGACTGTGAGAATCTGATCGACTCCCTGGTCTACTACATCCGGGGAGCCATCGCTGACCATAAGACGGACGACAAGGTGAAAATGAAAAGCTGTTTCCAAAACAAACTAAATCATTAATCCTGTTGCTTGTCATTTAATATTTAAAAAGTCACAATCATTATATCGCAAGAAATAACTGATTCTCTTTTAGTCTCATCACCTGTTTCACATTCTGTATTGTGATTAAGAAGCTTTCTGTTCTCTGTCTTCTTTTCTATGTACTTGCTCTGAAAGTCCACGGAGAACTGCGTCTGCATTTTGCACAACCTGTCCTATCAGATGGAGGCGGAGCTTCCTAAGAAGTACACCAGAGAACTCGGAGAATCTCGACAAAACTTGGCTCCCAAGCCAAAGCCAGTCGGCTGCTTCGCTTACCGCAGTGCCAGGATTCCAGAGGTAATCCCTCCAGACAAATATCCAAATGGACAGTACAAGAACTTTTCTCATGGTGTCATATTAAAGAGCTTTACTCCTGCTCTTTTAATCACTCATTTCATCTTTTAGATATTAAACCTCTCATTAAATGAATGTATGTCTGCCTGAAATCCTCTTGACTCTAATCTTTGACCCTGTGGATTCTTTTTCAAAACATGATGATGCACATTAGCTGCCTGTTGTTTTTAAAACACTCTTGTGGTAAACAAACTCAGCCTCGCTTGTCCTGTTTACCTCCCAGCATCTGGAGCGACAGAGCCCCCTGCTGGAAGAGAAGGCAAACCCCAGTGGCATAGAGTGGCTGTGGAGCACCATCACCATCAGGATGTACCTGTCACTCATCGCCCGCAGTGTGCGTCACCAAACACAGCAGGCGGCCATCGGAGCGCTGCAGAACATCACAGCAGGGAGCGGCGCGGTAATATGGGACAGAAGTACACATCTGCAATGAGACCACACAGACTTCCATAGACTTCAATTTTATTAATTTTTCTTACATTATTTTGTTTTTTTAAGGTCAAGAAATGTTGTCATAGTGTGTTTCCAGTGCTAATAAAAACATCTTTTGTGCCTGACAGGTAGCTGAAGCCATCACTTTCACTGTTGTTCAGAGGGAAAATGGCCTTCAACACGTCAATAAGATTTTAGAGGAAGGCGAGAGAGATGTGAAGAGGACGGCCGTATCTTTAATAAAAAACCTCTCACGCTACCAGGAGCTGCATCCTGAAATCGGTAACTGATCCTTTCAGGTTTAAAAAATAAACCTGGAGCCATTGTAGACCATGAATGGTTTTTTTCACAATCTTTGTTTTATATTTTTGTATTTGTGGTACTGAAGTGAATCAAGTGTTGCCCGAGGTGGTGCGCATGCTGCCCCATGACGACACGGGCACCGACCTGCCCACAGAGCTAACAGCGTCCCTGTTGCACATCCTGATGAACCTGAGTCAGAGCGAGCCGCAGCATGTGAGAGCCATCGTCAATCAGGGAGCCCTCCCAAGGATCATTAACATCAGCAGCAAGGACAATGGGTTAGTGTTTATAGTGAACAAGTAGCAGAAAAGTAGAAAACTGAGCACCTCATGTTTGAGAAAGGATCAATCAGAAGTGTAGCATCAAGTGGGGATGGTAGAGTTATGTCCTCCTGACCAATAAAAAATTAAATCTAAGACACAGATCTATAAATATAAACCAACAAAGAGATACAAATGCAGTCATCTTCTTAGAGTAAAGTTTGACATGTTTTCATGCGTACATAAAACTCCTTGAGATGAAAAAAGACATTAAGTTCATCCTTTGAGACAAGATGCAGAAATTCTCTAGATAGTTTTCCGTGCCTGAAACGCAATCTTTTATATTTTGTGCACATGTCCCCTTAGGGGCCCCATAGACTACCATGTGGATGTTGGCACGTCTAATCTTTCAAACATCCATTAATTATGCAAGTTAATTCATAAAATTAACAATTTCATCAAAAATATGTTCATAGAAATCCACCAGACAAAATGCATTTATACCAGGGCGCGCTGGTGGCGCAATGGTTAGGTTAGCGCGCCCCATGCATTGAGGCTGTCGTCTCGAGCGGGAGGCCCGGGTTCGCTTCCACCCGTGGCCTCTTTCCGCATGTCGTTCCCCACTCTCTCTCCCTGGTTTCTGACTCTATCCACTGTCATATCTCTGCATTGAAGGCACAAAAGCCTAAAAAAAAAAAAAAATGCATTTATACCATTTCTGAAGTGACCCTACACCCTCGGTATTAACACAGCAATGTTGTGTTATTTACTTTAAAGGATGTATGTTTAAAATAAATAATTGTAACTTTTAATTTCTAAGTTTTGGACCAACCAGAGCGGGACAGGCAGCATGTGTCCTGCTGCACACCATGTGGAGACACAGTGACCTCCATGGGGCCTACAAGAAGGTGACCTCCTGTACATGTAATACACAATTATAAAAAAACTGATGAGGTTGTTCACATATTTTTCCTGATGAGACACTGTTGGAAACACATTTTACTATTACTTACTCGTTCTTTGCACCTCCTTATGCAATGTTTGTGAGGCGCCCAATGGAAAATATGATTAAACCTTTTTTTTTACTTATTGCACCTGTCACAGAACAGATCACTCTGCTAAAGTGACTCATTGAAGGTGTCTTAGTTACCTTTCTTACACAAAACTCTTCATGATATGAAGAAAATGGAAAAATACCAAACATAACAGTTTGAAGTGAAATGGTAGAAAGTATGAAGAATGACTGTATGGTGTACAGTGTTACTCTGTTACACTTGATAGAATTGTAGATGATTCATTGTGAAAGGGAAAATATTCAATAACCTCAAACATTGATGAATTATGAATATTGTTGAAATGTACTGGTTGTTTTTTTCATCACCTTGTAGTTTAAAATATTCAGTACAACTGTTGGGCAATGTGAGAAATTAAATATATATATGCTGCCTTTAAGATGAGTCAGTAACCAACATCTCTGTCCTCCACAGTGTGGCTACAGGAAAACTGACTTCATCAATCAAAGGACGACTAAGGCTGTGAACTCCGGACGAGACTGAGGATCAGATTCATGAATACAAAGTCCACTTGTTCCTGTAGACACCATCAGAACCAGACTGAGAATCAGATCAATGAATACAAAGTCCACTTGTTCCTGTAGACACCATCAGAACCAGACTGAGGATCAGATCAATGAATACAAAGTCCACTTGTTCTTGTAGACACCATCAGAACCTGCAGGACTGAAGAACTACTGTAATGGACTGTGTATGTATCAATGAAGCCTTAAGAGGACATGCTCTCATATATTTCAGTCTGTTTGCACTTTCCCCAGCAGTAAGGAAGTCAGCATCAAGGATAAGACTGTGATGTCAGCAACATATGAAAGTAGATTGTCTGCTGAAATACACGTACACATATCAGCTGGCGTCTTTGTCTCAACCTTAAAAATTTGATTTCATACCGTGACAAGGCTCTTCGATGGAAAATACGGCACTAATAAAACCTCAAGAAAACAGCTAAGCTACTGAAACACGAGCCCTTACTGCCCAACTCAGATCTTTAGAATGCTGAATCTCCTGACTGCACAACAAATTGACCTTTTCTGTTACTAATAAGAAACCTTGAACCTCTAACCCTGAACCTTTAACGAGTTTGTTTCAGCTGTTTTTCTCGAGATCTCTGCTTGATTTTCTCATCATCTAGGAATAACAAAGCTGCTTTTCTCATGATAATGGGCTCCTGTTATCACAAGAAAACAAGCTTTGTTATCTTGACATAAATTAACCCAATTTAATGGGAAACATTTCATGAGAAACTGAAAAATAAGGAAAGATTTAGAGAAAACAATGAGCTATGTATGTTAACGTGTCTGCTTCAGGCTTCCATAGATTTTCTGCTGAGTTATATATTTCCCTAAATGCTGCATGACATTGTGAACACTGCCTACATTACTCACAAAGGTCACATAAGATGGCTTTTAAAATCTGTACATAAAAAAGTCATGTTTTTGTAGCTGTTAGTCAAAGGAAAGACACGTCAGATTTTGATTAGATGACACGACGAAAATTTAAAGAAAACATACCAAACAAGAGAAACAATATTGAGCATCACATTTTGAATTTCATGGGTCCTCTAAAGCACTTTTTCAGTTTTGTTTACGTCAAATATATGTAGTCTCAGTGAAAAGATATTGAAGTGTAGAGGCAGCTTAACAGTTTGTAGTACTTTTCTGTGTGTTTGGTTGTTGTGCACCAGTAGTCGCATGAGGAACCACAAAATGTTCATATATTAAACAGTTTCAGAATTGTTTGGAGAAAGTGCTTGAAATAGAATCATTTCCTGTTGTGACTCCCTAAAAAAAAACAAGCTGATCTCCTGCTTTCTGCCTTCAATGTGTTTTAATCATCACATTCATTGTTTGGAATTAAATATCTTCTAATGATGTTTTTAGAAGCTTACTTTTGTGAATTACTTCTGAGAACGCAGGAAAAATAAATCTTTAATAAATAAATGCAGTTATAATGTTCCCTTCTTATTCACTATTTCGTATTTAGAAAGCTAGAACAAAGGGATCAGTGTAATTGATCTTATTGTCTGGGCGTGTATTAATCTTGGTTACCTCAGCTAAGGTTGACTCAATTCAGATCAATAAGCTTGAACATCATCTCTGACCTTTTCCTTTAAAATGCCTGATTAAGCTGACAGTTCATTAATAAGATAACCAAGTTGAACCTTTTTTAAATCCCTGTGTGGAAGAAAAAAAAACAACAGAAAACCTTTGATTGGTCGAGCGTCTCGGTGACTTTGAGGCCCTGAAGCGGTGGTAACCTTGTGGGGCCTGGCAGGGCGAGCTGCACTGCAGTAGAGCAGAACATGGGGGAGGAGTATGGAGGCTGTTTGACAATCAAACCCCCCCCCCTCCAGATAAAGCCTTTAAGAGGGAGGGGGATCTTTATTGCAAATTGTGCGTCTCATATTCCTGTTTTATTTTTACATACCATACAGTTCAGCAGGTGTAGGATGTAAAGGAGTTAATATAAATATCAATCATTGGTGGTCTTTCTCACTTATTTATTTATTTTGTAATATTTTTTGGGGGGCTTTCTGCTTTTATTGGATACAACAGCTGAAGAGAGACAGGCTGTTGTGAAGAGGACAACCGCCTCTGTACATAACCGCTAGGCCATCCAGCACCCCCTTGATCACATCATTTTATTGAAAAAACTAAATTCCCCAAGACATCCATTATGTCCATCAAAGCTGACCCCCCCCCCCCCCCCCCCCACCTGATTTCTGGCAGTGGCTGAATTTTTCAAAATCAAATATTAGTTGCAGCTTTGTTAGTTTTCTCTACCTGCCAGGCTGCACAGAGCAAAGACATGTCGCATGACATGACAGGAAATGGTTTTGCAGTACTGATTTTGTCTTGCCTTGTCTTTTTCATACGGTATAGTGCATCAACCATGATCCAAGACTTACATGAGAAAATATAATTAATGAACATGTCTGATGTAATTGTTTGCTGCTTTGACATATCAAACATTTGTTCTTAATTGATCCAGCAGAGGGTGGTGTTGTAGCATTAACGTCTCAGTCTGCGCAGTGAAATCCAGACAAACACTCAGTTTCTTGTATTTAAATGTCCTTGAGTGACACTCTGTCCCTAAATAACTTCATATTTTCATATTCATGAACTTCAGCTCCCACGTGTTTTAAAGTGCTTTAGATTAAACCCTAAGCCTTTCTATTTGAGGGACTAAACCGTGCTTTTTTTTACATTTCTAATCTCTAATTCACCCACTTTGTGAACTATATTGGAGACAACGTCCAGGATTTTCAAGCACTAGTTTTGACACAAGGGGGAGAAATGCTATGAAGGAGCCAAATCCTTTGAACAATAGCCTCCTAGTCTCTGCGCTGCTTTGAGGATCAGTTTTGATTTACAAGGAGAGACACATTCTCTCTTTTTAATTAGGCCACCAAAACTGAAGACAATTGGATTAATCGATAAAAATAGTCTCATACCTCCTTCAGTTTCCTCTCAGCTTATCTAAACCCTGAGTAACTATTTTTATAGACCTAGCATGGACAAATAAAGGTCTAAGATACCACAATAGCCACACGTAGTAACAGGTGTAAGGACACATGAGAATGGCTTTGTTTCTATTCCGGGGTTGTCACATTTCAAAGACTAAACATGTTAGATCCACAGTTCCCATGCAGAGAGTAAGAAAGGATTCTTTCTGTAGTGGAAAAAAGGCTAAAGAGAAGCCACTGTAACTTTTTTGTTTCTTACACTGACGCCATTGTCGGGGGTGAAGCTACTCAGAGGGCAAATTACTCTATACTGACATAATCACTCAAGAACCATTGGGATTTAAAAACCAGTCCCTCCCTATTTAGCAGTTCAGTATTTTCATGGTTTTCAGTGGACGAAATGTGTTCCGACCCTCTCTCTGATCTTTTGAGAATGTCTGGAATGAAGTGCCACCCTGCAGACAAAGTTAGGTGTTTTGAGTCAGCGCTAGGCTGTTTGAAGCACACACAGTGGAAGGCTTCAAAATAATCTGACATTTCAATAACCAGTTTACATTACATCAAATTGTACATGTTTTCATCCCTGTGACTTCAAGCTTGACTATATCAGCTATATAAGGGGAATCTAACCCTTGAAAGTGAAAAAGATCAGAACATTTTTCATTTTAAAAATACTTGGCCTATATTAAAGCACTCAAACTGCATTATGGTTTTATACTTGCTCCCTTTGAATGGCCTCTAACATCATTTATTTGGGGATTCCTGTTTTCTGTGTTCCAGCTATCACTTTTACAAATCGACTTTTAAAGGTTTAAAAACTTTAATCAAAACAGGGAGTAATTGATTACGAGCTCAGCTCTGCCTGTTCCTTAGGAGACATTAAAGCCTTCAGCTGTGCTGAGTTTTTAAAAAGCTGTCTGCCTGGGCACATGCGCTCACTACCATGAGGCCATCTCTTGTGTTATGACTCCCTTTTTGATTTCTTGCCTTGAAATGTATAAGCTAACATACAGGCCATTTGAGGATTTGGTTATCAACAGTAAACTATCTTGAGAGAGGGTCTACGTTTAAGTGTGATGACCTGTGCCATTTCACTTTGTGCAGTTTGATTGGTTGGTTCTATTTGTTCTAGCCTATTTTTCATTTAATTTCTGGAATATTAAAACATAACAGTAGGCTACATTTCACTTACAGTTCCTTTTCTAAAAGTTATTATTAGTTTCGAGTTAATCCTGTGAATAATTTCTTTGCCTTTGTTATCGGCTAGCCTACTAAATAAGAGTTGAAGCTAATCCCAGCAACGAATAGGCCAATGCTAATTTGGTGAAGACCTCATGTTGCCACAGATGGAGAATAATAGAGAGGATGAAGAGGACTGTCTGAAGGTACTTTAGTCATGCCCTGCTTCACTCGCGCTAAGGTAAGCTACAGCTATAGCATACTGCTGCAAGCTAGCAGAAGCTGTGAATCGCTGTTTCCATAGAAATGATAGTTGAATCTGCAGTGCTGCAGTCTTTTTGCTCAAAGTGTTTTGTGAATCTGCATGTTGTTTGTTGTGAATTAACATATATACATTTGTTCAGTAATGTAGGCTACTGAATTAAAGGGGGGCATATTCTGAAAAATCCACTTCTACAGTGTTTGTGAACATATATTTGGGTAACCTGAGTGTCTACTGACCCACAAAATGTGAAATAAACACATCCAGTCCTTTGTTTGTGGTCTGTATAAGTCTTACAACACAGAGAAAAATGCTCAATGATGTCACAGTTTGATTCTGGTAAAAAAAAAAATCCCCTCCCCTCCCCTGGTATCTCCACCCATGGACTCCACCCCCAGACTAGAACAAAACTTTTGCGCCCGTCTGCCATCGACTTTTACAAATCGACTTTTAAAGGTTTAAAAACTTGAAAAACAGGGAGTTCTAAATCGATAAAAGTTGATTTAGAACAAAACTTTTGCGCACGTCTGCCATTTTTATTCTTGCTACAGAGGAGTGATGTCTTCTGGGAAAACTCAGGGGGGGTCATTGCATTTAACACCAAAACTCAGGGGGGGGGTCATTGCATTTGAAACCAAAACACACACACCAAAACGGAGTGTTCTGAGAGAGCTGGTTTATACAGGGTCACAAACCTCCTCTGGTGCTTGATTCATGTTATATTTTGACCAAAGCACAGCACAGATGTTTCATTTAGTCCACAGGGGGACTGTTTGAAAAGCTGGAGAAGGGGGATAATATGTCCTCTTTAATTGTGCTTACTTTCTGGATTTACGTGTAGGCCTTTTCCAATTTATATAAACTAATAGATTCAGCTGTCTTTGACACAGTTGGTAATAAAACAAACTGAAGGGATTGCATGAAATTCATTGAGGGGATTATCAGATGTATTCTACCCACTGTGTTACTGATTTAATATTTCTAATGTTTGTATCTAGGCCTACTAAAACATAGAATGATATCAGTTATAGTAAGGAGCATAAGTTTTGTTAAACTGGCCATAAGATGTAGAAACATGCAGCCTCTGATGATGATTTGAAAGTAGGCGTTATTTAATGGGACCAAAAGCCAGGGGGATTTGTACCATTTATTGTCAAGTAAGCCTACCCAACGCATACAAAACTATTTGCAGATGTGAGGAGTCAGACTTGATCTCGTGTCTTGAATTCATCATAAAAGTTTCTGCTTGACAAATCAAATTTTAAATGAATCTTGAATTCTAATTTAGGATTGAAGATCAATCTGCTGCTTGGAAAGTAAGGAGAGGGGGGGAGTCAAGGACGGTGCACTTGTGGGATTCCAGAAATAAAATCTGATAGATGGATCCAGGTAAAAAGAGACTACACAAAGTTACATTTTCAGATCTTAGGGTCCGCTGTGTTGCAAAGTGTGCCAAACACAGCAAGCAGGCCGAGAAGTAAGCCTGAGGTTGGAGCCCTTTAGAAATGTACAGAGCCCTCTGCTCGGCTCGTGACTGATCATGGGGCCAGGCAGGTTGTGTTGGGACAAGAGAAAGCTGGTTAGAGGAGACATGTTGAGGAGTTTCAGAAAAGGATTTTAAGAGTGATTCTGTTCAGGCTCTGATAGCAGTTGGCTCTCAGCCACGGTTAAAAGTGAAGCCAGCAGGTGATTTTTGAAGTCAGTTTGGATAGTTCTGAAGGAGCAGATTTAAAATAAATTGTAGGGTCTAAACGGACAACTTCTAACTTAAATCTGAAGAAAACGAGAAATAAGTTGAGGATTGAAGAAGAGTAGAAGTGTGAAGGATAAGGTTTGAGGACAGGAGAAGCCAGCTGCTGTGGTTCAAAGATGAACTCTACTAACAACTTTGATTCATTTAAGAGCAAGCACTGTTAGATACATTTCAATGAGATTAAACTGAGATTTATTTCATTTGAATGTCTAAATCCATTTACCTTATTTATTTCTGTGAACTATTCCTGATTCCATAGCTGCTTTATGTGTATGTAAGGGATTCTTTGTCTCAGGTTTTACTATTAAAAAGAGGCAGTTTATATTTGTCAAAGACTTTAATAATGTGTAAATTGGTGTGAAAGAAACATGTGTAGCTGGAGAATTCCTCTTTGTACACAGAAAGTTGCAGTAGCTTCAATAGCAGCTAGCACAACCAATCAGAAATGATCATTTTAGTGGCTCTACAATTTGTGAAACTACTTCTGATGCCTCTGTTTCAAGATGTGTGAATATTAGTGGTATAATAAGCGAAGGAAAATATCTGATATTCTAACCAAGCTAATGGGTCAATTGGCAAAGTGTTTTTTAGTATACCTTGTTCTTTGATACGTGTGATTTATGTCAAATAGAACATCTTCCCAGAGTGGATCATTGAACACATGTGGGGGTCTGTTCATTTGTATTCTTGGTCTTTGAGTTCTACTTCTGATGGTTAAGATATTTGCAAGCTAAAGTTAGCTTTTGTGTTTTGGGTTGATCCTGCTGTGGTTAAAGAGTAAGATATGATCTTTCACCGAGATACAACACAATATTTTGTTTCTCTGTCTCTTAAATGACTACAACTGCACTCGTGACTGAGCCAGCTAAACAGCTAACGTTTATATCAGACGGTGATTTGGAGAGCTCAATCAAATCTTTTGGTATAGATGGTGTGGTGATACTTCATATAGGATAAGCAGTTTTTGTGCATATTTCTTACTCATATTCTGTTTTATAACAAAAGTTCAGATAAATGCTAACGCTGCCCCATGCTGTCAGAGACCTGACCGTGTAGCAAACATTAATGTTGGAAGATTGACTCTCCTGAAAGCATCTGTCAGTCAAACCTCATCACCACTGTCAGCAAGAAAACATCAATCACCTGCTGCTTGATTATCACAACAGCTGAACCATATGTTCACCATTCATTCAAACTAAAACCATATTTTGTTGGTTTTAGCAGATTTATTACTCATGTTTACACATTTGATTACCAAGTGGGTGTTTTAGAGACAGCTTAACTAAGTATAGAATTAATTGAATGCAATCCAAAACAAATATTGTTTGCAGATTTAGTCTCATAAATAACTCTGGTTTTCAGTTTGAACTGTTGTGCTTCAGAACATCAGCACTACATTTACAGTGAAAAGATGAAGGTCATGTGATTCTGCCTGATCAGCAATACAGGAACCTGTCATGATTAATAGTGTATGAAGACATCATGAGTGTTGACTTGAATTTAAATAAGGGGAAACGCACTCACAGACCTGTGTTCATGTCAAAGTTAAACAGATCCTTCAGATGCTGCTGCTCACAGGAAATAAACCTGTCAAATGTGTAGCTCAAACCCACACAAGTGTGCTTAAATTATAGTGGAGATCCCAAAGATACCTATTATGTCAGGCTGTATTTTAGGGAACACGTGTGAAATGATATACAAGTGACCACTCGATCTGCATCAGAATGAGATGTCTGAAAAGTTCACTGTGATGAGTAGCTGAAACATCTGAAAAGCAATATTTGATATGGAACGACTTTTTCTAAATTGTGAGAATATTAAGAAGCTAATCAAGATAAAATAAGTTGAATTGTTTTGCAGAATAGAACACTGTTTTGATGTGGCAGACTGACAGCAATCGTGAAAAATTGAAAAAGATGCTCATGATGATGTGTTCCCAATCCCTGTTATGATTCAATTATTTATAATGAAGGCCCTTTTTGGCCGTGCTTCCGGTTCTCTAGGTCTCTAAGAGGGCACTTTTGCTGCATTTTATTTACATTGAGTACACCCATCCCAGTGCACCCATCACAGGCTCTTCATGTTTTTATTCATTTGGTGGTGAGAGATGTTCATTTTGTAGCTCACATTCAAAGTCATATTTCATTTTAATTGCGCATAAACATGACCCCCTTTAAAAAAAGTGTTTTTTTCTTCTTGTTTTTTTACTGGATGGGTGTGTGATCACTGATTTGCAGAATGGTCTGGAGTCTGTTCAGAGTTTGACACAAAAGTCAGTGACTATAACATTTTTGTTATAACAGTTTTTCATTAAAATCTCAGTCTAGAGAAGTTGACAAACTGGAGTAAATATGTGACAACTGGATTTGGAACAATCATGGAGTAATGTGGAAATATTTCTGAAACACAGATTTATTTTCTATATGTTATATTCCTGATCCTTTAATGGGGGATGGGAGTAAATGTAATAAACTATCTGAACAAGTTAGTTTAACTTCGTGAACAAACTATTCAAAACATATTTCATTTATTTTACATATCTAATCGATTTTGTGATTGACTGGAAACAATGGTATCAGAAATATCAACCTTGCAAAGCATATACAAGTACATTTAAATATCTAGTATAGACAACATTTTTCATGATAATGACCTCTATTCTTTTTATAGACTAAAATGACTTTCAGAACTGTTAAATATTGTATAGGCTAATTATTTTACATACGGGGTACAAAGAAACAAAAAATGAAGTGGAGATGTATGAAGTAGTCAATAAAGGAATTGCAAATGACGAGTATACTTCCTGACACATAAGATCATATTGTTTTTGGTAAGAAATCCCACAAATTCAAAAGGATGAGTAACTTAGATGTTTACATTCTGAAACACTTGTAGGACCTTGAAAGCGTTTTTTTGTCTTTATTTATGAAAATGTGACCGTGACCACCATGTTTTTATCTTCACATGAACTTAAAGATTCAGATCAAATGCAGCTCCGGTTCCGACGTGACTCTGCATCAGAGCTGAGCGGGTCCACTTGCGTCGCCAGTGCATTGCGGCTTTAACCGGTCCATAATGCCTTGCGGTGTCCCAGTTCAGTTCCGACGTAATTTACAACCCGCTCTGAGATCTGTCCCCCCCTCCTCAGTGACAGGCAGAGCAGCGGGCTAGCAGGCTGGAGCAGCAGATGTTGAAAACTGCTCCCATGTCGGAGGTCCAGTAACCGGACGGGAGGCATGTTTACTTGTTTACATGTTTACATCCACGCGGCTTTCAGAGGCGGGGATGTGCGCGCGCCGTCAACTCTGCTGTTGCTGCGGGCGCGTGAGCAGCTCGGAATAAACGAGACCCTCTGACAAGTGGAAAATACTGGATTCTATTCCTGAAAGAAATATCGAGCCAACAGTAGATATTTAAATGTCAAGAAATAAAGGGATCCGCGGAGAAAAGGTATGTTTGTTTTTGACACAGAGCTGTCCGATGCATTCAGTGTCTCTTCTATCCTATAGGCTGAATGCGTCCATCACTGAGCCAACATTTAAAAGCTGCTGCTATCTATACAAGATTATGTAGCATTTAATGATGTACAGGAAACAGAAAATACAGACTGTTAAGCGATACTTGCAAAACTTTCTTAAGCATGTTTATTCCTGTTTTTTCTCCCAATCCTCCATTTTTAAACGCCACAGCTTCACGAATGTGTGACAGGCGGATTTGTTTTTATCCTGCTATAAGTAGCCCAGTAGGCTAGTTTAAATTATAAGGATAAATCCTCAAATTGAGTGGTAGACTTCTGGTGTTTCCTCATGGTAACATACCTAATCCACGAGCCAGCAGGACATGAGTGATTGGTCTTTAAGTGTGTGTGTGTGTGTGTGTGTGTGTGTGTGTGTGTGTGTGTGTGTGTGTGTGTGTGTGTGTGTGTGTGTGTGTGTGTGTGTGTCTGCTGAGCCCTTCAATGATGAATCTCTTAATAGAGTTTGGCTATAAGTGCCCACTCAGCAGTGCTATTAATCAGAGCTCCTTCTACTGTGCAAAGTCCTTGAAGTGCACATGGGATAAGACAAGGGCAAAACTTATTCACAGGATTGTCCATGTACAGGACAATGAGCTGTAAAAGGTACTTTGTCCTAGTTTGTTTCAAATAGTTTTTAATGGTGGGGTCAGGAGATGGCTTCAGGTTCTGCTCCAGCTTTCTGGCCTATTGGAAGATATTTATCTTGCTTTTTGGTTGATGATTATATTGGGTTTATAGCAAAAGAGCAAAAGTTGACACCCCATTCTTTTTTTGGGATGTATACTCATATTTTAAAATTCCGACCAGTCAAAATACTAAAGTTGCCCGCCTGAACATTTCTTTAAAAGTTGGATGATCTGCATGTGAGAATACAAACAGCTCAATACGTTCCAACACAACTTTATTAAAGTTTTTTCCTGCCAGCCTCCAAATAACATTTCTGCAAGAAATCCAGATGAGCGTTGAGTGAACGCAGCAGGTAATAGAGTAGAGGGGTGAAAGTCCTTAATATCATGTAACCAGGATGAAAGCAGGTCATTTGTTGCGCGTAATGATTCTGCGCCACACTTTTTTCTGCACTTTTTTTCCCACTCAATTGTTTTGAATGTCTCCATTTAACTAAGCATTGAAGACTAAAACTTTTACATAGCATCTCCCCCCCATTTCTCTTTAATCAGAGCCCTTCAACCACCTCCTGCTCAGCTAAGCTCCAAGTCTTACAGGGTTAAAGGCTTAATGTCACTACCAAGCTGATTACTTTAAACTTTTAGAACTGCAAGGTGGCAATGCGGTTAGCTTCAACATGGTGAACATCAGTAGTGGAAATAAAATTATATTCACTGTTTAGCCTAATTGTGCACACATCTGTGGAAATGGAACCAAATAACATGCTCATCCCTGTTTCAGATGTTTAACTATATTTGGATTAAAACTTCCACAGTGTTGGGGCGCGCTGGTGGCGCAATGGTTAGGGCGCGCGTCCCATGCATTGAGACTCTCGTCTCAAGCGGTAGGCCCAGGTTCACCTCCACCCGTGGCCCCCCTCCGCATGTCACTCCCCGCTCTCTCTCCCTGGTTTCCGACTCTATCCACTATCCTCTCTCTGCATTAAAGGCACGAAAAAGCCCAAAATAAGTCTTTAAAAAAATAAAAATAAAAATAAAACTTCCACAGTGTGGCATACTTTGAGCTTCTTTGATGTAAAACCTGAATGCCTTACAGTCTCTAAGAGAATAGATTATCTCTGTCTGAACAATGGCTGAAGCCCCTCAATCTGATGCAGTCCCCTCAGATCACATATGCCATGTGGATGTAATCTCTAAAGAGTGTCTCCATGTAACAAGCATATATAGCAGAGAGATAGAGGAGAAGGTTCAGGCATTGAGGAGGAGGGCTGGGGGGTATGATGTTGTAATCACCTCTAATCAGAAATGAACACATTACTGTGAACTGTTCTCAAATTGCTCTATCAAGAAAACAGACATAATATTTCTCATTATTTTATTCAAAAACATTTATTCTAGTAAAATGAGCAGTGTGATAAATAATCAATCAATAATGTGAGGATAGCTGATAGCTTGCTTTAGCTTCATCTGACTGATCACAGCTGCATACTCAAGCATTACTTCTTTATGAATATTTTTTGTTTTCTGTTACGATAAATTCAGACTTTTTAGTGTACATTGCGAGTGCTCAGCTTCAGATAATGATTCAACTGAATCTCAAACGAAAAAATTATTAACAATGTGAAACCTTTCAAACGTCACCATGCTGGCATTGTATGCTAACCTGATAGCAACAGGATTTTAGAATAAAGCTCAGAACAGAAATGGTAATACTAACATGCCTTGTTTTTGGTGTTTTGATTGATCTTAGCCAAACTTTTTGTTGGAGCTGATTAGTAAGCATGTTGTATGAAGATGACGATATCTAAAAAACATTTTATAACTTAACTTGCTAGCATAGAGACCATAAGGAAGATAAGCTTAGCATTTAGCATCAAGAGCCAATGGGCCTAACCTCAGCCTGACGGAGATGCTACTTCTGCAGGTGACTCTTAATGGATCAAAGAACTAAGCTGTTTTTCACTGTAACACTAATGTAAGAGTTTTTTTAAAGTTAGTGTGCCCGTAGACTTTGAAAGACATTCTAATTTAACAAGAAATGTTGACATTGTAATGAAACAGTTTCATGCTCCATAGAGTGATGTTGTTTTTGTATGAACCATGTATGTGTGCTCATTGTCCACCAGCAGAACTACTAAGACCTTCCACCCTTTTTATTCCTGAGTTGGAGAAACCGTGCTGCAGAGCCTGCCGCCATGTTTTCTCGTAGCCCAAAGAGTTGAAAGGAAACAAAGAGGAAGTGACAGGAAAGCACGGGCTGCTTTCTTAATTGTTACTGATTGTTTGGTCTACTTTCCCAGTGCGTGTCCTCCAATCAATCCAGTCATCTGTGTAAGACCCGGACAAAGCCAGAGCTGTGTCGCCATGGTGACGGATTGTTTGCATTCAGTGAGGGGGCGTCCCCCTCGCCATGTGGGCTCACACACACACACACACACACACACACACACACACACACACACACACACACACACACACACACACACACACACACACACACACACACACACACACACACACACACACACACACAGAGATACTGTGTTGTGCAGCATGCTCTTTTGTCTGTGCACCACTTGTTTCCGTTGACCCCCTCCTAAAGCCTTAGCCTCCTTGTTGCTTTAAAAATGGCTTCCTGATTGTGTCATGTTTTATTGTTGGTCTGCTCAGTACAGCTCATCACATGGTACCCCCAAGCTGCTCAAATTACATTGAAGGGTCTTTAGTGTGCTGTCATTTCTGAACCATTAGATATGTGCAACATACTACTGTAACATTGTTGTTAATAATAATTGTTAATAATCGTGTATATACCTCATACTATTTTATTTCTATTCTATTTTTTTCTTCCTATTTTTAACTAATGTCAACATCTTTGATTTTTTTAACTTTTTGCTATTTGCTTATTCTTTCTTGTTCATTGTGAGCTGTTGTAACAATGGGGATCACTAAAGTTCTATCGTATCTTATCTTAAATCAGTAAACTTTAAATATACTTAGATATAGAAAGTGCAGTTAAGTGTACTATTCTGAGACCATTCATACAGGTATCAACACATAGACTTTTTTGTACTTTGTGCAGAATTTGAAATGTATTTTGAAGTATTCAGAGGTATTCCCCCATAGTTTTTCCATTGATTTGTTATCTAATATTGATATAAATGTTAATTAGTAATTGTCCTAAAAGTAGAACTAATCCATTTGAAGTATAAACAACACTTATTAAAATGCAGCATCAGAACAAAAGTGTACTTCATAAAATAAATTAATAACAACTTAAAGCTGGGCAATAAAGTTGACTTTACAATGTCAACTACTAGTACTAATTATAGTTACATTTAGTGGCATTAAGAGATATTTTATGAAGGTTTAGCCCAAAAATAATAGTAGTTTCACAGCGACGTGTGTGCAGTTTTTGTTTGATTGCATTTAATAAAAAGATGGTTGTGGTGTACGTTGTTGGCAGGCTCAGGGGTTCAAACCTAATGAGTTTGTTAAAGTCTAATTAAGTGATGGACTGAGAGAGCACAAGGCTTAGCAAACAGGAAATGGACTCTTTGGTTGGTAAATTGTGTTTGTTGGTGAGTAATTAAAATGGTGTCTTTGATCCTTCAGTGCTCATCTCAGGGGAATTAAAGGAGCTTTCATACTGTCTTATGAATTACCATCCATGTTTCAAGTAATGTCTGCTACTCCGAGTATCTCCCTAACTCTGCCTTCTTGTGGCATCCCGAGAATGAAACTTGAGGGGAGGCAGACTGAAGTCATATCTAAGTTTAGCTCGACAGTTCAGAGCCCAGACGACACGGTATTCTTCATGACTAAAAGCAAAGGACTGTCTGGCAGCCGGTGTTTCAGGAACCTGGTTCTCCCCAGCTGGGTTCTTTGTCCTATATTTCCTTATATCTAACTGGTATTATAGATTCTTCTCGACCGTCTTTTCTTACAGCATGAGCCCTCAAAAAGCTCCATTCTGAGTATGTCTAGCTCATTGCTGTTGGTTGCCATATTTTTGTTGTTTGCCATTTGTGCTCATTGAACTCCCAATGACTGAAGAAACATGCATGAAAGGCTTTGTAACCCTGGAAGTTCATTCAAACATAATGTGCCATTTTTGCTGTTTTTCAGTTTTTCGTCATATCGGCAAATAATTTTCTTCTTGGTTTGGTGCTTTGAGTTAAATGCTATGCAAGCATGCTAACATGACATCACCCAATAGTTTGGGGACTGCCATTTGAAGTTGATTATTTTAGTTGTCAACTCTTTTGTTTTCTGGAGGAGTGACCGTATATGAAATGGTGCTCAAC